TTGATTGATTGATTGATTGATTGATTGATTGATTGATTGATTGATTGATTGATTGATTGATTGATTGATTGATTGATTGATTGATTGATTGATTGATTGATTGATTGATTGATTGGATACTTGACTGACTGACTGACTGACTGGCTGACTGACTTTTCACTGAAATTTTTGTAAATTTTATCTGCTTCTCCCTTTTCTGGTCTTGTTCTCTGGAACTCTCTATCTCTGACAACTTATCCATCACTTACGAAGCTCAGAGCGGATCTCTTGACCTATCTGTTTGTAAAATTCATTAAGGAGCGTTAACGAACATAACGAAAAAAATGGCGCTTTAAATTGATTAATTGATTGATTGATTGATTGATTGACTGACTGACTGACTGACCGACCGACCGACCGACCGACCGACCGACCGACCGACCGACCGACCGACCGACCGACCGATTGATTGATTGATTGATTGATTGATTGATTGATTGATTGATTGATTGATTGATTGATTGATTGATTGATTGATTGATTGATTGATTATACATGTATATGCTGGCAAAAGACCAAATTCTTGACAATAAGTAATAAATTCCAACGATTTATTAGTGTTTTTCAACCTGTATTCGAATTTTTCATATACATATAAAACATACCCCTTCTTGTCATATAAAAATATATTATATTGCTTCGCATATTGCTTCTCTCTATGTCGAATCTTTGTTTACAAATGTTTCCGTTCATGACACAATTGGTATTATCATCAATAGTGTTTATCACTCAGACGTGCTTCCCTTTAAAATACTAACAAACATCTCAAATCTCTTCTCCAAGTTGCACCACCAAAGCACCTTTCCACACTCCCACTGGCAAGCTATACAAGCAAATTGACAGTGTGGCTCACCACTCGGTGTCCTGTTCGCAAATTTCCATTTAGGATATATTTAGAGCAAAACGTTTAGAGACAATCCGGAATTAAAAATAAACATTTATGCCAAATATGTTGACAATATCTTCGTCGCATTGGATGATCCGGAACAACTCAACCAGCTACTAGCAACCCTGAACCAATCAAAATTGAATTTCACCATCGAGCACGAATGAAAATTCATTGCCATTTCTGGATGCATGACGAACACAGATTTACAAGTTATAGATCATATAATATATAGCGTATTAAACATACATATACTCCTTTACTTTGGTGTTTTTCCTAATTACATAATTTGGTGTTTGTTTTTATTCAGACCGACAAAAACAAAATCTGTTACAACCATATATATTTATTTATATAAGAATTAATATATATGATTCTAAATATTGAATTATATGTAGGAAGTGAAATAAAACGTTTGATCAAAACGTTGTAGAACAATTACGTCAAAACGCTATATTTTTACAAGTAAATGTAAACAATCACTCGCTGGAGTCCCCAAGCATCAATTACAGTGGATGCGTCACTGCTTCTTTTGCTTCCAAAGCGTACAATATTAAGTCAATTTCAGTTTAAAATTCCATGGTTAAAACATAGAAATTGTTACTGTGATATTTGTCTGGTTTACTTTATGGTTCATTACGAAGCCTAACCTCAAAAATATCATTGTTTTTGTTATATCATTTATATATTAAAAATTTATTTACAACAACAATATATAGAAAATATACAGTATTGTTATGTAGTGAGTTTATTAACAACAACATTATATAGAGAATATACACATTTATTGACAACAACATCCTGTTTTGACAATATATATCTTCAATCTCTCATCAAAAAATTAATTCGCTTCAACAACCTACCTGCATCATATCCTACCGTCACTCAGATATTCAACACACTCGATTCAAGGCTGTTCAAGAAAATAGAAAATAACAACAACCACGTCATCCATCCTCTACTACCACCAACCAAAACTACAACACACAACCTTCGTCAGCGCAAACATAAATATCAAGTCGTCGCCCAATCTACATACCAGGAAAAGACCTTCATCACAAGACACCTCAAACATATTAGCACTTAAGAAAACTTCATCATTACTGAACTAGTTTTTACTTATTGGTCACCTCACTTTTATCGAACACCTCACTAACTCACTAAGTCATCATTTAGTCTATTAATAAGTCATCAAATATATTAATACTCATTAAACTTTTTCACACACAGGCCTAGCCTTTATTTATCGATCACCTCACTAAGTCACCATCTAGTCTATCAATTTGCCGTTACTTCATTTTATATTCCATCGTCAATTACTTTTCTTTTATTTGTCTTATTATTATTATTTATTTTATTCTAACATATTTTATTCTTCATGTTTTATTATTTCTCTTCTTCACTCTTTGTATTTATTTTCTCACTTATTTGTTTAATTTTGTTTCACTGCCTTGCATGTTGTTACAGTTTCTGCGTCTGTCAGATCCTGATTTTTAAAGAATAATAATAATAATAATAAAAAAAAACTGAGTAACTTTTTTCAGCCTTACAAAAACTGACACTCTTGTTTTCAGTTTTAAGATTTTTGGCTAACTAATGTTCCTTCTTCCATTATAGAATATAATGAATATATGACGTCAGTGCTTTTCATGCTTTCCAATAACGCAATAGGAAGCATACCAAAGGGTAATTCCAGTCTAAAATTCCATGAAACCAGCGTTGAAGAAAATGTAAATGAGATGGTGTCGTGATGTTCAAAGAGTCTAAGCCCTTTATTACTTCATGACATGTTTTATCCCAGTTCTTGATCATTCGAAATTTGATGTAGTACGTACTCGAACACTGCCATAAGACTGAATGTTTTATACATCACATTTTGCGCTAATAATAATATTTATTCTTTGTTTTTCATCGATGGTTTTAAAATTTTTACTTGATGTTTTGATTTCGTATTGTCCCGATATTGTTTGCGGTGGAGTCGTCGAAGCTATCGTCTGATCGCAAGCAAATATAATTTGTTTTTTTATTCCACTAGCTCTGAGAACTAGTAGTGTATTTTATTTTTAAATTGAAAAAATAATTTGTTCAGACCACCTTCTTTTTATAATTTATTTCACTTAACTTGATATTCAATATTAACAACTTTACAATACAATTCTACTATTCTATTCTATTCTATTCTATTCGTATTCATTCGGTATTCTGATTCCAGTCTGAAATGTACAGAGGACTAAGTAGAGCTCAATTGAGTTTCGATTACCTTCACACAAATTCGTTGGTTTCAATTTGATTTATTAATGTTTTTATAAATAAAATAATTATCATCAGTAATATTAATAATTAATTAATGAATCTAATAAAAAAATAAAGATAAATGAATTATTAAGATTCACAAAGTCATGAAATAATAAAAATATTCAAAATTTGTTCTAGTCTTTCTTAGCTTATTCCTTAGTTTTTAATTTTTTTTTACTTACATTGAAATGTAAATTTTAGATTGATGTCAATTGTTTTCTTAAATCTTAAACTAATTAAACTATTAAACTTTAATTTTATAGCAAGCAATCTGAGTTTTAATTCCATTCTTTTGAAATTAAACAAAACATATTCATTGTTTAATATGATCAGCAATTATTTTTTATTTATGATTTATAATAATAATAATAGAAAGGTCACTATAATTATCCACTTAAAATGATCTACTGCAAACTAATTGCGAATGTCTTTGATGATTAAGCAAAATGATATGAAGGCTTTGTTCAGATTCCTTTGCTTCTGGGATTATTCTGATAGCCATTTTAGTTTTTCACTCATTAAAAAAATGATAGAACTGAATAGGCTTCTACTATGGAAATACTATAAAAATATCAATGAAGCATAAATCAAAGGAACTTTTTCACAAAGTTTGATTAAATAATGAACTAATAAAGTACTTATTTTTATTATTAAAAAAATAATGAATTAAGTAAGCAGCTTGTATGATATAATTTGGATCATTTAAAATGTACATTGTAGTATTGCAAAATTTAAATTATGCAATAATGAAATACATTTAAAATGCAGAATTAATTTGAGTTTTTTATTAAAATAACATCCTCTAGATAATAAATTCATTTATGTATGTTTGTAAAATAATTTATTAATTGGAAGGATTGTTAGGTAATATGAAGGGCAATTAAAATCATTTTTTTTACAATATTTTTACATTTCAACTAATTTTCTTGAAGATATATGCTTTTTTTTATAACAGTAATAACATTAAATACAATAATCATTTTCATTCAATCGAAATTGAATTAATTGATTTTGAAGATGTCCAGCCATAAAAAATTATCAGTTTTTTAAATTTCATCTATTAAGTATTTTCAATTTATTATCTTTATTAGTTTGATAATAATCTTTCTAATCTGACACAGACTACCTAAATTTTTTAATGCTGTATTGAAGTTTGTTGCAATTTATTTTAATCTTAGAACTACCCATGAATTTTTGTTTGGAGCCTTAGCAGAACTCCTAGACAATGCCAGGTAGCTTTGTATTTGTTTATTAATTTTACATTTTAATTGATGAAAATTTATTTTTTCAGAGATGCTTTTGCAACAAAAATCAACATTCATTCAAGTAACATTTTGTATATATTCATTTTAATTATTAGTCTATTATAACTGTATATTAATGTTGACAGTTTCTGATTCATCGTTGAGAGGTGGTTACATGTTGTGCTTCTTAGATGATGGACAAGGAATGTCTCCAGGTATATTATGTTTAGTGAAATTCATAGAATTTTTTTTATGCAACAATATTGTTATATAATAAATGTTTATCCTCAACTACAAATGTTTTTGCACTTGTTACCACAGAGGAAGCTTCTGATATAATTACTTTTGGCAAATCAAAAAAATCGTTAGAATCACAGATGATTGGGAAGTATGGCAATGGCTTGAAGTCGTGAGTAACATTTGATGTTAATTGTTATAAAGTATATTTGCATTTTTAATTAAATACTATTCAGTTGATTCAGTTCTAAAAGGATCTCTAACTTTTTTATCTTTTGGTAATTTAACATCAACATTTTTTAGAATAAATTGGTCGTAAAAGAACTGGAGGTATTTGTACAATCAAAAAAATTATTATCTGGAAAATAGAAATTTGCTTTGTTATTCATTTGTTATTGTTATTCGATGTTTGACCAATTTTTGATATTGTTTTTGTTCTCTTTAGACTGTTTAAAAACTCTTTAACTCCATGTCCTAGTTTAAACAAACTAATGGTTCAATGTTGTCATATGTCAGAGTTCCTCATTTTTTCATTGATAAAATGCAATTAGATTGATTTGCAGCCTGTAAATGCAAATGGAAGTTTAAAAATTCCCACAAAGCTTGATAGCTTTGTATATTTTGTTCATGTTGACTATTAAGTTTTGTCCATAAGCTGAATTGTGTCTTCTTGAATGCTTCTAAGTGTGTTGTCATATGTTCAATAGTTTTATTTTAATTGCTTATGAATTTTTGACATATTCTAATTAATGAAAACATTTGTCGTTATAAATAAATTAAAATCATATCAGCAGGGTAAAATGTATAAATTGCAGCTTTCTCCATAATCAGCATTTATTTATTTGTACTAAACTTTTACATTATCGATTTAAATTCAATCAATCAATCAATCTTCGCTTAGCGTCCAGAGACCCAGTTCCCCTGTGGTAGGACGTTGTTTTCTTTGCCATCAATTTTTTGCTCCAAATTAGGCGATCAGTTGTATCCATTTTATTTAAATTTAGAGCTTTCATGTAATGCTCGATTGTTTGCGACCAGGTCTTCTTTGGACGGCCTTTGGGACGTGTGCCAGGTATTTCAACATCTGCAAGAGAAGTTAAGGCACTGTTTCTACTTCGTTTGACATGACCAAACCACCGCAGACGGTGTTGCCGGCATTTGTTCTTTATATCATCTAAACCAGCACAACGCAGGATTTCGGTAGATTTGATGTGGTCACCAATTTGTTGCATCCATTGGAGCATTTTTATATCGGTTTGGTGAAGTTGTTGTTCCAGTTTGGTTGTCATTGGCCATGTTTCTGAACCACATAACAACACCGTATCACAGATTTATAAAGTCTTGATCGTTGTGGTAGTGGGATGTCACGCCGCATCAATATAGAAGCTGTACGTATGCGTACTCGAACGGTAGCTTCAACTGTTCCAGTACAATCCAGAACACTGATTTTGACTTTAAATCCATGATCGGCGAGTCTGGTGTTCCAATCTTCAAACATCTGTGCTGCATTCTGCTCAGACGTGGCTGTTAAAATGACATCATCAGCATACATTAGATTCCAAATGTCATCAGTGCGTATTGGCTTTCTTCCATCACAGTTATAAATAGCAGTGGACTGAGAATTGAGCCTTGGTGGACTCCAACGCCGATGTCAAATGTGCTGACGAGAGTCTTAGTATTATCCATTTAAATTAATCTTTGTGATAGCACATTCAGCGGTTAGTTATATACATAAAATTTTTAAATACTCAGAAATTTAATAAGTGGCATAATCTTACACAATGAGACGAATTTTACACAATGGGATGAATTTTTAAAAAATAAAAAATCTTTTCATGTTTTCAAGTCAGTATGATTTTAGTTAGACATATGTTTGGAAAAATTTGTGATGAAAATCCTGATTATATGTAGGTATGAAAATGACCATTGGGCGATGTTTATAGACTTCTTTATTCTCCTAGTGAATGTGAAATTATTTGGTTATAAAATACTGTACTAATGTTTTCAGTTTGGATTAAGATACTTTTCCAAGTTGAGTATTTTAAATTGATTTTGTATTTTTTAGTGGGTCAATGAGAATAGGTAATGATTTGATGCTGTTTACAAAAAAAGAATCAAACATGACCTGTGTCTTTCTGTCCAGGACATTTCATGAAATCGAAAAACTTGATGAAGTTTGTTTTTTTTTGTTACTTTTAAAACTTAATAAGATGTTATAATTTCTAACATTTTGTATCAGTTCACATTCAGCCTTAAAACTGTTTTTTGTACATAATGCAGATTATAGTGCCGATGCCATCTTTTGATGCAAATACGAAAAGGCCAGTGACTAGAACCCCTCGTGATAAAGAAAAAGTAAATTTAATTACGTTTTTCAGACCTGAATTATTTTTATAACTGTTGTTGTACGAGACGTAATAGTTGATTATAACCTTCGCAGTACTTGGTACTTGCTAATATATCTACTATATTAGCAACATATTCATTACCAATCCATTGTATCATGTTAGAGTCCCATGCGTAACTTTTTCAACTAGAACATCGGTTTTTCAAGTTGTCATTGCAGTTGAGTAGACTGTCAAGAGTTTAACAACTTGTGAATGAGATGTATATATTTATGCAATCTAATAGTGCTTGTTTCCTTACAGCAACAACACAACACACGTTTAGACGACATTTCCCCCGAGATCGGGGGTTGCCGTTTGGCTACCTATAATGAAACCGAAATACCCCTCGACGCCATCGCCATTCACATCTGTCATTCGCCTCAGTATCACGCAATCCCGCTTTCACTCTGTCTTTCTCCACCTGCTCTTTCCATCCCAATCGCGGACGACCCCTTCCTATCACTCCTTCAACCTCGAACTCCAACGCTCGCCTAATCCCGACCCTTTCATCCCTTCTCAACACATGTCCATACCACCGCAATCTCGATCTCCTTATCAATGTCACAATGTCCTCATTCAGTCCCATCATCGACATCAGCTCTGTACTACTCCTCCTATCCTTCACTTTAACCACACACATCATCCTCACCCTTACAAATGTTTCCTTACAAATATTTCAAAAGTTTTATTCTTCTTAACCTCAAGAAACTTTTTTTCATGTTAGCCATCTCAATTTATTAGCATTGATTTGAAGCAATTCATGTCATTAACTAGTTTCAGGAGGTTTATATCATTGAAGGCACAGTGTGCACGTGAACACTTACGTGCATGAAAAATGCGTCAGGAAGTTTTTAGGAGATGATCTCTTTCTATGCACTTGAGCCAAATCAATTGAGGTTCTGTTTTTGAAACAGTGGAGGTGTCAATTAGTGGAAAATAAATTAGTGGGAAAGCAGGAAAAATCTAAGTTTTGATATAGGAAAACTAAAAATTTAATAGAATGCAATGTTTAAAATGTGGTAATAATTTCTCAAAAAGAACAAGCAAGTGGATAATCTGTGTTTGCTGTTGTATCCTCGTGTACTATTTTCTTGCTGCTGTAGCTTTTTATAGTGTCCTGAAAAATTATGCGCCGCCAAAAACGTATCTGTCATTATTCTTATAATTAATTGGGATTTCACAGGAAATCATTGTAATGGAAATTATTTAGTAGTAAATTTTTTCAGGATCTATATCTGAGTTTATTGTTATGGCGGTTAATTAATTTTTAGAGTTTTTATCATGAGTAATATCAAATTATTTGAATGGATATATTTTTAGCAATAACGCATAAGATATTTGAATATAGTAAAATTATTTTTTGTAAACTGCAGCACACTCAAGAAATGGAGCTCATATTGAAATATTCTCCATTTAGAACGGATGCTCAGTTCATGAAAGAGTTTGATAAAATTGAAAAAACATCAGGTATATGATTTGTATTGAAATTGTTGAATCACTTTTTTTAAATGTTTGTAATGTTCAGTTTGCATATGCTTGATATATGTAGGACTTGTATTATAATAATTGCATTATGAGTCTCTGCTCGAGCCAGAGCACAATGCTTATCCTATAAATGAACGTAAAATTTTAATCCACGTTACACGTTACAGTCCACTCTTGTTGTAAATCTATCCATTAAGTTGAATCGACGTCTGTCTGTCCGGAACTCAAAGACCATCATACCCATATGATGGGATGCTTTTGTGTGCATACATAATGCGTATGTGCGTCGTGTGGTGTGGACAGTGTACATACAGCCTTAGTGGCAGGATGGTTTAATTTTAATAAGTATAGAATAACATGTAAGCAGTTCTGCGTTTGACAGAGTTGCATTATAAAGAATAAAGAAATAAGATATAATAATTTTGGTTTTTTTGTTACAAAAAATATTTCATTGGGTGACACAATTTGGAAGTAGCTGGTAATTTTTATTCAATGCAGTAGGTCAAGGAATGTTTCATATATGTAAAGTTTATTAAGTGAGAGATGTCCCACGTAAACGAAATAATAAAAATTTCACTTTCTCACAAGCACATGATAAGGGCAGTGTCACCCATCTGCCCAGCTGCATCTGCACTGAACTTCAATATAGGAATGAAATTATAGCACCTGAATTTTAACGTTGACCTGAAAGCTTTATTGCATTTTCACCAGCAATCATATGTCAAAATTTTATAAAATTTAATGAATGTGTGGCTTCAATGCTGCTGTTGAGTCCAAAAAGCGAATCATGGGAAGAAACAGATAGGACAGTTCAGTCTAAACTTTCAGGGTTTAGCCCTTGAAAAAAAATTCAAAACGTTCGTTGGAATTTATATTTACAAGTTGAACTTGTTTGACAGATTTTAATATTGGCATTTATGCTCATTTACGTACCTTACGTCCACTTCAATATAAACTGATGTCCTGACTTGACCATTGACATTGCATTACTGCGTCTGATTTATTTCTATTTCTTCAGACGCTTTCTAGAAAATATAAGATTAAAAAGCTAAACTCCTAGCACACTAATAAAATTTTACTTGTCGGATCTATCAGAAATTTTAGTTGTTTTTTAATATTTAGATTAAAATCTACCAATTTGGGATGAAGAATAATTTATTATGATTAAATTCCATGTAACATCACATATCTATTTTTTGACAACGGGAAATATTACTGAAATTATTGAAGGATTCGATTACTATATAACTCTTGATGCTGCTTACAGAAGAGCCATCAAATTTGTCTCACTAACTAGACCCACAAAAACTCAATTGAATTGAATTTTATAATGATCTAAAACGAATCAACCAAACGGTTATATATTTAATTTAAAAATAACTTATTATTTCATTAATTTTAGTTAAATTACGTTGTCGCCATTAAAATGTTATTCAGAGGCATTAAAATATCAGCAAGTATATTTTCTTCCCAGACTAAAAATAGAACAACATCATGATATCATTAGTACGGATCATTTATTACGATTGCAGTTGAGTTGATTACTCAACGAAAATGAATTTCATTCATAATGTTAATTGACGACCAGTTTTATAAATTAAACAAATTCATGAAGGTACTTTGGTTATCGTTTACAACCTGAAATTGCTAGACTCTGGTGAGCCAGAATTAGACGTGAAGACAGATCCATACGATATATTACTTGCTGCTCAGGATGACGATAGCCATGATGGGTCAGTTTTGTGATAGATATTGTTGGAATTTTTTTCACATTATTCTTTGTTAAAGATGTTCTTAAATGTTGCAGGAGACATAAACTAACGTATGATAAATATGTTGGAATCGTACTTTATGTTTTTCTATAATAAACTTAACTTTAAAAATTTAATGGTTGTTTTGGGACTTTGAAAATTGCAAGAGAAAGTTCAAAGACACATTTTTTACCGTTGTCAATCTGTAAACCAATGTTTTTAAATGATCACTTATGTGATATAGTTTTTTAATGCACCACAATATTTTAACGATTGTTATTCAGTTTGATGCCAGAACGCAAATCCTTTCGTTCTTACGCTTCTATATTATACGTTGATCCGCGGATGAGGGTTTACATACAAGGCAAAAAGGTGCGCACCAAGCGTATTATCAGCACTCTATATAAACCGCGTCTCTACAAATACACTTCTGCTCGTTTCAAATCTCGATCCGAGAGGGAGGCAAAAAAATCTGAAGAAGATGCCAGGAATGGTATGATGTTATTATTAATTAATTAATTAATTAATTAATTTATTTATTTATTTATTTATTTGTGACGATTTACAATAATTACTTATAATTTTTTGAATTTTATTCTATAAACCTAACTGTTTTTTACATAAAATTGAATGATGATGTAGGTCAACATTGTTAAAATATTCTACAGATATTTCTTGAACTTTCATTTTTTCAATTTGTTTTTTTGATGGGTATTTGTAGTTAGCAAAAGCTTAATGATTGTGCACACTTAATGTTTCAACAGGCAGGCAACATAATTTGAGCTTAGAGTTTAGATGGCTTATTAGTTCTAGTTTACAAAAACTTCTTAGTCTATTTTGATTATGGATTGAGCTTAGAGTTTAGATGGCTTATTAGTTCTAGTTTACAAAAACTTTTTAGTCTATTTTGATTATAGATTGACACATCGCATGCAATTGATAACTTAAACTTTTATTTATTTCACAAGCTGAACACAGAGCCAGAGAAGCTGAAAGTAAAGCAAAGTAACTTGAAATATGACCTCTATTTGTATTTTCACAGTTTTCATTCATTATTAGTTTTATATAATTTGTTTTTATTATCAACCATATATTTTTGCTTATTTATTTACGTATCTATTATTGTTTCATTATGATAGGGACCTGGAAATAAAATGTGGAAAAATGCCTGATAAAGAACAAAGGGTGAGTTTATTTTTTTCGCTTATAAAATTTTCAAACTAACGCTTGCTAAAATTATTTCAATAAGTTTTTTCAAGGTAATTTTAAAGTTTTTTTTTTTTATTAAAAATGGTCCTCTTTAATCCCTAGCCAAAACATTGAGGAAGATGACATTTACCTTTGTCAATTTTCAAACTTTTTTTATCTTTGGCGAATTTTAATTAAATTAACAGAAAAATTGCTACTGTCAACTACGCACTTTTTGGCAGGTCTTTCAATTTTTACTTTCAGTTTCTTTGTCTTTTTGGTACAGATTTAATTTATTATTTGATTATTTGCAAATATCCTAAAAAGTCCTATTTTTATTACTTTTATCTTATGTGCAACTATCCTTTTTAGTTATCCAAGCTCGTTTTTCATCTGTCACAGCTAATTTCCATCTGTAGTTTTTTTATTTCAAACGCTTCCAATCTCTTTTGCCTCTTATCTATTACCCAAATTTTGCATGCATGCAACAGTGTAAAAGACTCAATGGTTTTATCATTTTTGATTTTTCCACAATTTTTTTTTCAAAATGCAAACATCCTCGTGCAGTAACAATTTTTCTGTAAACTTCTTTCCAGCAATTGTGTCTGCATAAGTATACGAACTGATCGACTTGTTTCAATTTTTCTGAATCTATTATTAATTTTTTTGCTTTCTTACGGGTACCCTGAAATCGTTGCTCTTGTTTGGCGTTGCTCTTGTTGACGTGCAATTCACAATCTTTACCGCCTTTGTGTGTGTGATCTCAAACGACGTTTGCAAACCATTTGCACTGAACACCTGGTCACTGCGTCTAACTTTTTGCTTTTATCATCTTTCACCGTCATCTTTTATTCCCTTCTAAAAGTTAAAAGTTTCCATGCTAAAGTCCAATTTTATAATTAGGCTTTTACATCAGGTTGAGTTTCTAGTGTTAATTTCACTATTTTTTAATTTTGTCTGTTTGTAAAACAATTTGACTCCTTCATCTGAGGTATTCGCTTTTTTGTTTTAAGCTACCACAACGTTAATATCTCATTTTTTACTGGATTATATTTTAATGCTCTTCTTATTGTATCTTTTTTTACTTCTTAATTTTCCTGCAACAGATTGAACTCAGAAAAGCGCAGACTCATGCTTTGGAGTTGAGAAAGGAAGCTCAATTGAGAAGACTTATATCTGAGAGAAAGATTAAGTTAGCCTTTAAATTATTTTTGTCTTCATGTTATTATGATATAGATTCACTTCCTTCTAATATTTTTCTTATAGTTACTTTTTTGTAACACTTTTTTTATATAAAGATTAACAACCCTAATTTTATTTATGCTATCTCAGCACTATGTTTTTCAATAAAATGATGCTGCTGACTTTAAAATTAGATTCGTATCAGAAACCGATTTAAAAATATAGTTATTGCAAGATAACGTTGAACAACTGAATTTAAAACTATGCAGCTTTGTTATGAAACCTCTACATTACAATGTACACATCTCCATAACAACGAAATTTTCATTATTTTTAAATGCTTAAACGAAATTTAGCATACTTGCTTGTCTGTGTTAATCAATAAAAACTTTGAAGACATTAATTTTAAAATAAAAATAAGTAACATGCAATTATAATCTAAGTTGTAAGTAAATGAAATTTGTTAGAGTCTTTAATAAAAAATTAGCTGACTTCCTGACACTTAGTTTTTTCACCTCTTGCATTATAGCTTTTATTTGAAAAAAAGTACTTACGATGAAATAAATAAAAGCTACCCTGAAATTTGAAATAAGTTAATTATTATCTTTAAAATTGCCTAATAATTCTGTTCATATTTTAAAAAATATAATTACATAGTTGATTCTATAATTTGTTGACCTGCCTGTAAATGCTCGCTCTTCATGACTTTTCAAAATGCATGCCGAACTTTTGATGTTGTTGAAGAGTTAGTGAGGAAATGACTAAACTAAATTATGGATAATCTTTACAAATTAACTACAAATCAAACAGTATTTTGATTAAAATATTTTGTAGCAAAAGTTTTGCCAACACCAACGTATTAATTGAATGGAATGAAGAACTCAATAAATTTTCATAAAAATTAAGTTCAGGCTGAAAATTTTAAGGGTATCTGGAAACTATGGAACACTAAAGTAATTTAAAATACTAATGATAGAATACAAATGTGATTGAATGCTTGTCCAAATTGAAGTCCAAATGATTGAAAGATTGCTAAACTTTATATTACCGTCATTTTGAAATATATAATCATTCAAAATCAAATTTTTTTTCCTTGTATGGAGTGTTTTGAAATTTTTAATTTTGTGTTTTATAGATTTTTCATTATAATTACGAATCTATTTTACGTACTGTTCTTAACCAGGTCTTTGAAAGAACCTAAACAACTAAATTTTGTTTTTGGAGTAAATTTGGAGAATAGAAGCAGGGATGGTATGTTCGTTTACAACTGCAGTCGTCTCATCAAGATGTACCAAAAAATCGGACCACAACTGGAAGGCGGAGTGTTAGTTTTTTCGATTTTAATTTTTCGGAATTTCTATGATTCAATATATTTTTCTAAAGCACTTGTTATACATATATATATATATATATATATACATATATATATATATATATATATATATATATATATTTGTGTGTGTGCGTGTGTGTGTGCGTGCGTGCGTATGTGTACTAACAATTTACAACGTTTCAAATAAAAAAATTATTCTTACTTCAGGCTGTGTAAAGGCATCGTTGGTGAGTTGCGGTATCTTTGTTTTTTATTAAGTTCAGGAACAACAACTGAATCATGCTCTATAACATTTTTTTCATGGTAATAATTATAAAAGTTGTAATGAGTTCAATTCATAAAAATGTTATGTGAAAATAATATATTATGCTACAAATATATGCAGTATATATACATACATTTTTTGTTTAACCAAAACAATTATTTGATTGATTTTTAAATGTTTGCGCCTTTTCGTTACATCTTCTATGGATTCGATTGTATACTCTTATTTTTCATCTTGTCACAACGGACCTGTTAAAAGTTTGCATTAAATTAAAATCTATTGTTATCAGATCATTTAAATATTCAAAGTAAAAATACATTCATCTTTGTTATTTTAAAATATAAACTCTCTGTTATAATAAAGCAGCACTTGCACTTGCAAATGAATTTTAATGGTTTAATTTGATTTGACTGTTTCATACATTTTAACAGCTAATGGATGCTTTAGAAAATATATTTTCATTTAAATTTTCACTCACTTCAGAGCATGTAATATGGACCTTATTTTTTCCACCCGGAACAAATTACCTAAGCATATTTTTTAATGTTTGCTTCATCATTCATAATAATTTTTTGCATTCAAAACATTTTCATAGGCGTTGTAGATGCTCCATATTTAGTTCTGGAACCGACACACAACAAACAAGATTTTGCAGATGCCAAAGAGTACAGACATTTACAGCAAGCTATGGGAGAACACATGCTACAGTATTGGAGGGATATCGACATTGGTGATGTTTTACTTAGCACATTAATTCATTTTCATTAACATTTATGTGCTGATGTATTGTGAGCTCTGAATTAATAAAGTTCAAAATTATAAAGGATGTTCAATTATGTCTGTAAGATTTTATTCAAAATCGATTAGCTTTTGAGGACTATAAATTCAGTATGAATGAGTGGATTGAATGAAATTTGTCGTTGTGTGTTTGCAAAGGTGTTCAAACCTAGAATTTAATTTTATAAACAATAAAATAATTTAAAACATTTTTCAGCCCAACAAGGAGTTTCAAAATTCTGGTTAGTTAATTTTAAGAATTGAACTTTTTCTTTTTAAAAATAAAATATTATTTTTAAACGTGCATTTCGTATTATCACATTTTTCTATTTAAGAATTTTTTCAATGTAATTTTTTAGTAAAAAATAGTAAGGATAAATCGTTGCTTTTTAAAAAACTAAGTTGTTTTTGTTTGTTGTTAGTAAAATTTGTTATCACTTCTAGGGAAAACTTTGGTTACATTAGTCCCAACTGGCATGCATTACCATCTTCAGATCCTAAATATGTGCGGAAAAGAACTGCGAAAGTTCAAATAACTCTGCAATGTGGTTAGGCATTAACTATGTTTTCTCAGATAAAATTTTGGACACTAATAAATTTATTATCACAATTTAAGGTGCTCATTATTTGGCATGCAGATAAATAACCATGATTGTTTATGAAATAAAAAAAAATTCGAAATGTTTCCCGTTGCTAAATTAACCGAAATTTTTCACTGGAATGTTGTGTTTAATTTTATGTTATTCCTGTTTGCAAGATCTCTGCTTGAAATGGCGCATCATTCCTTATTCCTCCAACAACATCAGCAAGGTCTTCCCTGATGACTGGGTCTGCTCCATGAACCCCGACCCAGCCCACAATCGGTAATTTTGCATAAATTTTTATTTTTTGTCCTGCATCATTTACCTTAATTGATCGAGTTTACTGATTTTTGTTAACCAGTTGTTCATCAGCTGAGGAGAAAATGAACCTTCCAGAAGGCCTCCTCAAGAAAATTGTTAAGACGAAAGAACAGAAGGAAAAAGATCTTGAAGAGGTTGCATTGTATAACTTATATTGTTATTATTATTATTATATATGTCAACAGGTTTCAGATTTTTTTTAATATTTACTCAAAACGCATTACCTTGCCTATACAATTTTTTGGTTAAGCTTCATCATTACATGCGTTTTTTTTCATATGTCTTATAAGTATGTCTTTATCTATGTGCATGTGGTTGAGTGCATGTCCGGGTGTCGTCTGTTGAGATGCATGCTCTAAGGGTCTGCAGAAGTTGAGTCCAGGTCAACTTAATATATGTGCTTGGTTATAATTTAAGTCTGTATTTATTTAATTTTTACTATTAGATGTTGATGACATATATTAAATTAAACAAATACTACAAGTTGATGACAAATATGATTTATTTATTTAATAGGAAATAAAGAAAAAGCAATCTCAGTTAGAAAAAATTCAGGTATTTCAATGTTTTTGCATTTACAAGTTTGTCATTAAAATTATTAATAAATCATTTTAAAAAATTGCTGATCAGATTGATAAACATTTTAAAGTATCCTGTTATCTTTTAGAAATCCGCACCTCGAAAGCGAACTGAATCATCCTCATCCTCTCAATCCTCATCTGACGACAGACACACATCGGTTGGTTTGCAATATTTCTACAATAATTTTTTCTGTATTCACATTGCATTTTTTCAAACTAAATCTGATTGTATTTAATTTACAAACTTAAACTTAACATAACATAAAGAACAATGAGCGCAGATTTAAAACCCATAAGCCCACATCACCAAAAATAAACTATTACAACGTTCACATAATAATTCTAATAAAAAATAACCAATTGCACACAAACCTCACAAAACTCACATGCACAATCATACATACACAAAACCATACTCGTAGCAAACCCACCAAAAGCACACAATATTTTTGAGAAATTCTGTATAGGGAAGTGATGGCTGCTATTGGTCAAATTTAAAATTTATTAAATGTTTGGATAATATATATTTTGTGAAACTTAAGGTGTGTGTCTATATATATATATATATATATATATATATATATATATATATATATATATATATACTATAAATTCTACCGAATGTTTGGCGTTAATATCTTTGTAGTTCGTTACATATTAACGCTAAACATTCGGTAGAATTTATAGAATATTGCAAAAATTACCCACACATATATATATATATATATATATATATATATATAGGATTAAGATTGTCAGGAATGCAATTATCGCTGAAAATCATAGCTTGATCCACGTTAGTTACCTTCCTGTTTAATTTTACGATTTTTCTAACGGTAGATCATAAATCATTGTCAAGTTTCTAGGATTCAAAACCAAAATTTTTTTATTTTAAGCCGGATAGAACAAGTTTTGAACTCAAGAAATTTGACAATGATTTACGGTTTACCATTAGAAAAATCGAAAAGTTAAATTGGAAGTTAACTAACGCTAAACATGCTGTGATTTTCATCAATAATTGCATTTCTGACAGTCTTAATCCAATATATATATATATATATATATATATATATATATATATATATATATATATATATATATATAAATTTTAAATATAAATAAACTTTAAATTGATTAATGCCAGCAATTTGCTAGAATTTAATACAACACTGTATATATCCGTAGTCGGAGTTGTAAATTTTTACCCGGAGTCAGATTTTTTTGAGGATGAGGAGTCAGTGTTAAAAAGTGTGCATTATAGTTTATTATATGAAATTTTCAGAAAATGCATTACTCGATGGATTCTGATGATTCCAATCATGTCAGAAGAGGGGTTTGTTTATATTTTTCATTGCCTATTTTACGTTCTACTCCAGTAAAAATAATTCACGACCATTATTTCACAGTCAAATTCAAGTACATTTTCAAAGGGCTATACATCCATTTCATCAAAGAAAACGAAAAATTTTTCAACGTCATTATCATCAACAATGCCTTCCTCGTCTAATAAATCTGCTTCTAAAAACAAACAAGTTAAAAATGTTAGATTTATTTATTTTTATTTGTATTAATATTTTGTGTTTGTTAAATCATCTCTAAAGCCAATGGACGTTAATTTTATAGCTGTTTTGTCACTTAAAGGCTCTGTTTTATAAGTTTTTCTTTTCTTTCTTTTTTTTAGAGGTCTAACATTTTTTTATAAAGATTATGCACATTTCATGGATATAAAATATAAATATTTTCGATTGTAAGACATCTTTTGACATTTCTTCACCAAGTTACGTATTCTAGTAAGACCAATTATGTCAGGCCTTTCCACAGTTTCAGATATTTTTATATTCAGAGAGAGAAAATTGTCTAGATTTTTTATTTAAAAAACATTCAAAAAATATTCTTTAAACTATAATATATAAACTTGTTTGCAGTATACAGGCACTGCAACTAACAACAACAGCACATATTCCAGTAAATCTCATGCAGGACAGAGCCAAAGCAAATTTAATCGTTCTTCAAAAGGAAAAACTTATAATGAAATAAGTGAGGATGAAGTTGTTGATCTTGATAACTTTTCTGATGAGGATGTCAGCAATGATGATGAATATAGAAATAGTTATCCCAAAAATTCTTCATCGTCGATGGTGACGTATGAAAAAAAAACTAATCTTACTCTAAAAATGAAGAGGAAATTATTGAACCCATCAGATGATGATGATGATGAAAATGATAAAAGTAATATTACGTTTTTTTTTAATGGCTTTTATAATTTAAGTAACTTTGACATTATATTTTTTAATAGTTTTTAATAGAAATTATGCTATCATCACCGTTTATTGAATATTTTAGCTGAGTGCAAGAAATGAGTTTTCAAGATGTAAACAATCACGGGTCTCAGTTTGGAGCCTTTTTCATTCTGATGAATTGGTCTCTAAATTTGTCTATATTACTTTTCATTCTGTTTTTTGAATAATTTTCAGTTCTCCACATGCACACAGCGTGCATTGGTTTACATAATTCCACATAATTTAATCTATTCCCATCTCCGTTTCATTTGTTTTTGAAAAAATTAACTTCCAATCTTTTTCTCCGTCTAGCGAGCTTCTGTTTAGCTAATTTTTCATAAACTCATCTGGACTTCATACCGCACCTACAAGGTTGTCAACATATAGTAATTCCTATGGAAATTTAGTTTGTAATTTTAGTTTATAATGATCGGCGATGGACTGAAATGTGAGTCCTCATTCTCACTTTCACCATGGATCAACTATTTTCTTCGTCAATTAAATAGATAACGTCTGGAAATTAATTGAATTTGCTGGCTATTTTGCACCAGGATCTCATTGTTATTTAATTAAATTATAAAAATTTGCTGGAGAAAATAGAAATATCTATTAAAATGGAAATGAGAAATGAGCTATATTTTAAGGTTAAAAAAGTTGGAGGTCTAAGTTCAACAGCACACAAACAGCGTATATGAATATGTGCTAGACGATGCATCACAAAGGTTCTTTTTGTTATGCTTGAACCCGGTCACTTCTTGTACTTCGAAACAGCGCCAGGTAATCTTAACCACTAGGCTATCACACCGCCCAAATTAAATGAATATTTCAAAAGAATTATGCGTAATCTCGAAAAGTTAGAGAAAAAAATTAGAGAACATAGGAGATTGAAAAAAGCTGAGATGCAGAGACGCTAAGAATGAGTGATTGACCTAATTCGAATGACGGTATTTGTATTTTATTAAAGTTTTTTATTATTTATTATAATTAAGAAAACGACCATAAAATTTTTCAAATTTTGTTCAAGAACACAAAGTTTTTCATCGATCTCACCATGAAGAGGAGGGGAACGATGGCAATGATATTAAACATAAAATTCACATTGGAAGAACAGTGAAAGCCCTTGTCCAGAAAAATTGGTAAATTTTAAAATTGAAACTTTAATTTTTTTCATTAACTTTACTTCTCTAAAAAAAACAAGCCTTTAAAAGGAAGGATACACGTCAATAATAACTAACGTTTGGAAGATGACCTTAGATCTTAAAAGGTTCTAAAAACAACCAAAATTATTTATAATTCTGGAGATTCATAGTAAAAAGATCTTTTATAATAAAAAATTTTGGTTTAATTCAACTCAGGATCAGCAAATAATAAGAAACTTCAAAATTAAAACCAAAGACTAACACAAATATAATTGGTATGAAAAAAATTAGAAATATTTTATATACAAATTATAAACTAATGACTACATGAACACAATTGAAATTATATATAAGGAGATGAAAAATAAAAATTTATTCCTAAAATCTTACATATAGACGCACCCAGACATACATAGCCACATGCCACCGTACAAACAAGCGAATTACATAGATTATGAATCATCAGACGTCCTGGCATCAATAAATTGCACCAACTTGCGACGAGCAAAAACTCGAGCTCTCCAAGCTAGAGCATCGAGCCAGATAACATATGTTTATTACGGTAAAACTTGTGTGAAGAAAAACTCATTGACATCAGTATGTTTTTTGCTTTTTAGGAGATGTAATTTTGGAAGCCATAGCATTTAACCAATCGTGAAAGCAACAATATTTTCTAAAACCATACTGGGTTTTTTTTATAATTTTTTTGATAAAATCTGACAGCAAATGTAGTATATCAATATTACCAGCCTATTTCTGACTCAAAGCCATGTTGCAGTTATTCAGTTGCAGTTTTTAATCCTTATAACATTGCTTCATAAATTAAATTTTTTGTACAAGTAACGTTTAACAAAATGAAAAAAAGGTAATAATTCATTTTTTTTATTGTTATCAACTCCTTGTAATAAAATAGTGACGATTGCACAAGATGTTCAGAAATGAAGTGCGTCAAGTTATCTTTTTTTTCGGCAGATTATATCAGTCATCTCTTTAAAATTCTTTCTCGATTCAACATTAATCAATCAATCATCGTTTAGCGTCCAGAGACCCAGTTCTCCCGAGGTAGGACGTTGCGTTGCAAGAAATGTTTTGCGTTAAACAAATAATTGTTACTTGTAAAAAAAAAGCCTGTACAAGTTACAGGAGTTTTAAAAATTAGCCGGTTTTGGACAATTAGCCAAGGTTGAATTTAGAAGATAGAAAACAACGAAACGAAATGAGCTTTCAAAACGAAAAAAAAGGTTCATAAGAAGTTCACGAGATAGTTGCTTTTGGTAACTGTGAAAATGGAAGTATTAAATTAGATGGAATCAATGCAAGTGAAATATCATTGGTTGTGAGTGGTGTGGAATTAATTATAAAAAAATGTAATTACTTTTTGTTAACGTGTCAACCACTCCATTCTCTTCTAGATATTTCCTGAATTTCTCTTGTTTGGAAGCACATTCCTAAATAATATAAATATAAAAAAAATTCAACATTAATGAAATTTTTAAATAAATTACACATTTTATTGCTAATTATTTATTTATATTTCGTTTCAACTTGTAAATATTATTAATTCATCGAGCCATTAAATTTTTCAAAATTGCTTGCAACTCAAAATCATTCTTTTATTGCTACAAAAAAGGATATTGGGTGAAGTAGTAGAAGAAAATCAATCAAAGTTGAGATGCAAAGTCCGTTTTCACAAGAGTTTCCATGGAATAACAGATATGTGGTGGGTTATAAAACTTAGTTAAATGCTTTTTGTGCCAGCTTGAATTCATTCAAAGTCACTTGTTTAGTTCACTCATCTACAAATATTTTGAATTGTTTTTAACCAGGTTTAGTAAAGACAGTCACGACATTCAGGTTATCAATGCTTTATCAGAAGCACCAAATTTGAACGATTCTCAAAATGCTCGCGCTATTGAATCTCCGAATTTGATGGCGGTTTCTAAGAAAAACATCGTTACATTAGAAGCACCTTCTTCGACATCTGTTACAGCTAATAATGTTAACATTAACGCCGTTAATGATGGTAATGACTTGCAGATCAACAGCTTTGATCCTAACAATTTGAATGGAGAGGCCCAACCAATTGATGAAATTGTCAACGGTTTTAGGTTTTTACATTTTATAAATATTTGCTGAAAATCGTCTTGCCGACAATTGCCATTTTTTTTACCGATTTTGCGATGCAGGTTGAAATGCTTAAAAAACCTTCTTATCATACATATACAGTGCACATTAAACCATTCTATAGATCTATAGTGCATTATACTAGTAAAACGCTGCTTTCTCTTTCTTATTCTGAATCTTCGCCTTTATTTGACCAAATATTGTTACAGTTTTAGTTTGAGATGCTAATAATTTGTCGATTTATCTCAAAACACTTTTTTGTATTTTGCTTCAATGACACTTTGCCGAAATTTTCAACAATTCAAAAAAAAAATTTGAAACCATTTCATTTCTAATGCTTTTTTGAAGTTTCATTTCGATATGTTTTCATTAACTGACTTAACGTTTCTAGAACATGCCTGAGATATTTCCTGCCTCCCAACTGGCATATGGACAAAGAAACAGTGTCGTCATTAGATAATATACAGCTGTCACGTTTTCCATTGGAAGATTTTTTTGATCAGTATGAAAAGGGACTAAAAAAGGTTTTTAATAATTTTTAATCAACGGTTAAATTTGTTTAGCTGCAAATATAATTAAATACTATAACTAATTAAACATAGCGGCAATTTTTTATTGAAAAGTGTTCGTGGATTTTTACTAAAGGTCTTCATGAATTTTCCATGTTGTTTTAGCAAATATTTGGAACGATATTCCGCTAAAGTTAAAACAGATCGTTTTGGTAAAGAAGTTCAGTAGAATATTGATGAAAAACTGGCTTATAAAAATATTTTAGTCGTAATTTAGCCCTTTAAAAAAATGCCGATGGAGTGAACAATAATGATAACATTCTTCACAAAATAAAAAGGACTCTATCAACGGTTTCTCAGTGAATTAAAGAGGATTATTAATCGATCGGATTAATGGTTGGTTGATCGATCGGTCGGTCGGTCGATTGTTTAATTGTAACTATAAGGGCCTACATTTTTAATGAGGAAATTATCCTTTGTGACCTTACTCTGGCCTATGGAAATTTGTGTACGATAGTTTCAGTAAAAATTACAATTTCGTTATACACGAATTAATTGTCTCATTCTTTCAACAGTTCTTATTATAACGGCGCTTTTTTATATACGCTTTTGTTGGCCCATGGAATTAATTTAATTTGAATAAAACTTTAAAAGCGTTCACTTAATGCAGATTGTTGAAATAATGTAATATGAATATATTTTCAAGTACGGTTTCTTTAGCCAAAGTAGTATAATCAATGGTTCAAATAAGTTTCTATTTGCATGAATGCTATTCCAAATAAAGCAAATCGAGCAAAGTTGGAAAAAAGTTTATTTAGGTCTTTCAGTCAATAACTTAATTTATAAAAGGTTCAGAGTTTGAATTTTCAGCTTCAACAGAAATAAAGCCAAAAAAACGTGAGCTTATAAAGATGGGTTCATGATTAAATGTACATTTTCTTAATTACCTAGATTGAATTGAAATTCTTTGTTTTAAAAAGCCTTGTCACATAACATATTTTTTCTAAAATGTTTTACCTTTATTATTATATTTTTTCTAAAATGTTTTACCTTTATTATTATACCACAAACTGGGAAACAGTTAGGACAACACCGTGCTAAAATATACCAGCGTATTTGCCAACTTGCTAAATAGAACTGTAAATGTAGGTATAAACAATTTAGACGTAACGGTTACATAATTTGAACTCTCGTTTCCAGCTCATTAGCAGTTTCCAACAAGATGCACAGCAGTCCAGCCACCGCTTGTCATTTGTCAGAAAAATGGTTGCCAAACTGCTAAAAACAATAAATGAGGTAAATAAAATAGAATAGAATTTTCATATATAGTTAGTGCAAATTATTTTTATAAATCTCCAATTTAAATATTTTAGGCAATTGTAATTACTAATTGCTAAATTGCTTTTTATATTTGTTTAACTTGTTTCAGATTTTCTTATAATGTCATATAATGAGAACATGAGAATATTCTTTCATTTACATTCTACAATATTAAATTGTTTATTAATTTATTTAAACATCCACACCATTTTCTCATAGGATTTTGAAATAGATCCGGAATGTGATTCCGAAGAGGTAGACAATTTGCTGGAATTGTGTCTACAGCAGGCGCTGGCTCATGCAAGAAGCTCCAACAATGCTGCGTAGCAGGCTGTTTAGTTGTAAATGCGTTTATTAAACACTTTGTTCATATTAACAAATTCGTTATATATGCATTTAAATTTTGCTATATTGACTGAATTACACTGGATTGTGTATAACGTTATCTGTGGAAGTTGACATTTTATAGCTCAAAAATGAAATTAAGTTTTTTCGGTTGTTTGTACTCATTGCGAAATCATTAAACACGGAATAACCAAAAATAACAGAATTTCAAAGTTATGCAGTGCGGGCAGTTTAAGAAAAATATAGTTGACATTTGTTGGCAATGGCTAATTCCTACGGCGAAAACTATAAACCAGAACATAAAGCCTTCAATTGTGAATTATCAAAAAAAGTTTGCTATACCTCTGAAATTTGGTGAGTCATTTTTTAACTTGGGGCTGTCCATAAAGAATGTCACACTTTGAGAGGGATGGTCAAAATTTTGACATTTTGTGACGAGAGGAGTAAGAGTAAAAGATTTTTATATATCGTTTTTACATTTTTCCGATTTATATCATGAATTGATAAATATTTTGTTAACAACTATTTGTCAAAAATGTTTATACAATACGCACAAGAGAACATTCTTTTAAGGTGCTTGATTTTTTGTTTTTCATTTTATTCCTGGATGTATGTACGTGTTTATTTAGATTCAACGCTATTAGATGTAGTCGATTTTCAATTGTTTATCATTATTCGTTAAAACAACTAATTTTCATTAAAAAATTTCAATTGTTCACAACTAAATGGCAACTTTTGAGAGGAATGTCAAAATGTTGACAGGTTTTACCTAGGGGATTTGAAAATTTATGACAGGGGAGTCAAAATAATGCGAAAAAAAGCGTGACCTCCTTTACAAACAGCTTCTTAATTAACTGATGAAATCATATGCCTGGATAAATTCGAAATGGAGAAAGTTAATGTTATTATGGATAGCATATTATGCAGTTGACTTCTGTAAAACATTGAACACAAGCATGAAAAATCAAGTTTTGAATTTAATAAAAATCAATTTTTTAAATCTATCTGGAATTCGGATGATAAAATTCGTACTTTGGCAAAAATCTCTGATTTTGATAGTTTGCTTTAAGTAGTGTAACATTTTATTTCAATGAAAATCGAAGATAGTAGGTCAATCTTCGTTTTGCGTCCGGAGACCCGGTTTCCCGAGGTAGGACGTTGTTTTCTTTGCCATCAACTTTTTGCGCCAAATTAGACGATCAGTTGTATCCATTTCATTTAAATTTAGAGCTTTCATGTCTTGCTCGATTGTTTGCGACCAGGACTTCTTTGGACGGCCTTTGGGGCGTGTGCCAGGTACTTCAACATCTGCAAGAGAAGTTATGGCACTGTTTTCACTTCGTTTGACATGACCAAACCACCGCAGACGGTGTTGCCGGCATTCGTCCTTTATATCATCTAAACCAGCACGACCCAGGATTTCAGTAGATTTGATGTGGTCCTTCAGACTAATTCGTTGCATCCATCGGAGCATTTTCATGTCGGTTCGTTGAAGTTGTTGTTCCAGTTTGGTTGTCATTGGCCATGTTTCTGCACCATATAACAACACCGGGCGTATCACAGATTTATAAAGTCTTGATCGTAATAGTAGTGGGATGTCACGCCGCATCAATATAGAGGCAAGGAGATGCCATTTATTCCAGGCTGCACGTATGCGTGCTCGAACGGCAGCTTCAGCTGTTCCAGTACAATCCAGACTAGATATTGAAACGATGTGACTTTCTCTACCTTAATGGCTTCGAAAACAGTGCTATTTCGAATTTGTTGTTGAGGATTGATGCAAGCAGGACAAACAAAATTGGACACTTTAGATAAAGTACCAATTATTTTTGAACAACGTTTGTGACACCACTGGTTACACTGCTGACACTTGATTGAATGGTTACCTACACCAGCTTTACAAACTGAACAGGGCCATCGTCCAGTAGCTGTGGATTGGATGGGTTCACCAATGTTCATTGCTTTGGTTTTGCTGATGTTGACTTTGAATCCATGATCGGCGAGTCTGGTGTTCCAATCTTCAAACATCTGTGCTGCTTTCTGCTCAGACGTGGCTGTTGAAACGATATCATCAGCATATATTAGATTCCAAATGTCACCAGTGCGTATCGGTTTTGTGATTTCTTCCATCACAGTTATAAATAACAAAGGACTGAGAATCGAGCCTTGGTGAACTCCAACGCCGATGTCAAATGCATCTGTGTTTCCAACCGTTGTGCCGACAAGAGTCTTAGTATTCGTATACATTTCCATCACAAGTCGAACAAGATATTCTGGAATGAGTTGTCGACGTAGACTCCACCTGATTGCTTCAAGGGGAACTCGATCAAATGCTTTTTCAAAGTCTACAAAAATGTGTGATAGTTGTTGATGCTTTGCGAGGTACTTCTCTTGCAGTTGCCGAAGGATGTGAATTGCATCAATTGTTGATTTCCCCGCTAGGAAACCAAATTGATAATTTCCGATTGTGATGCACGACGTTAATCTTCTCTCAATGATTTTCTTGACAATTTTCAGGGAGTGTTCAAACAGACGTATACCCCGATATGATGAACAGTTCAATGGATCGCCTTTGCCTTTGTATAGCGGGACTGTCATGCTATAGTTCCATTCAGTCGGCAATGAGCAATTTCTCCGGATTTCACGGCAAAGTTGTAGTAACGTTTGGATACCTGCAGTACCAGATGCTTTGATATTGTCATTTGTGAGTCCAGAGGGCCCTGCTGCCTTTCTAACCTTCGTAGCTTTCAGAGCTTCTGTAAGCTCCTCTATAGTGATGTCTGGAATCGGACCTTCGATGGGTGGAGCGTCAAAGTTAACATTGATGGGATTTGTTTCGTTTAACAGACGGTTGAAGTATTCTCTCCACTGTAGCTTGATCTCATCTTGTTCAAGAACCATCTCATTTTTGTTATTTTTGATACATGAGGCACCAACTATGTCTTTTTTCGTACGCTTTGCTTGTTTTGCTATACGATACAGAGATTTCATTTGTTCACCTTTGCTTTTAGTGAGCCACACTCTGCACTGATCTGTCCGAGCCAGTGCAACTTGACGTCTTGCATAGTTGTTCTTCTCCTTAGGTGCATAAGATAAATAATAAAATAAATAAAATTTAATTTAATTTATTGACTTCAAATTAAAAATCATGTTAATATAAAACGCGAATCTATTGATAAATCATAAGTTATAGGATACAACCTATAAATATGAAAAATAAATTTACAATTAAGTAAAACACTTTATACTTATAAATACAAACAAAATAAATTAAACTTTTTATTAGAGCTATGAACAAATCGTATTTTTAATCAAATTAAATCATAAAACAAAAGACGAAATTGACGAAGATAGGCAACATGTTTCAAAGAAATGTTCATCTTTATAAGTATAGCATAAATTACTAATAAAAATAACTTGTCATAAGGTCCTACAAATGGAAACGGCTAAACTAAGTTTGAAGAATTTCAAGTAATTAATAGTACTGTTGATTTATTATAGTATAGTAGTGTGTATGTGTATTAATAATATATAGTTATACATATAAACATGTCACCCGCATATATATATATATTTATTTACATATAAATGTTCATATTGTTGCGTAGATGATAATGATGCACAAAATGCGCAATTGAACTGCCATTATGACCAGCACAGATATGCTGAGGGCATTGGATACAAGATGTAGGTGTTGAACGTCACAATGCATGTGCAATGAGAGCAGTGTAAGATGACTCACGAGGATTTTTAGCATGGTTGGACCAAGCTGTTATGAATGGTAAACCACATGGATAACAGCGCATATTTAAAAAAATTTGTAGTCGACCGAGATGTTCCCATCTAAAATTAATTTCATGAAGGTACAAAACTTTCAGAGAGATTTTGAAAATCAATCTCAAACTGAATGAGACACTTAACGGTATCAGTTAAATCAATTAAGACTATTTAAATGTGCAATTCACATTTTAGAGATAACACGTCTGTGGATATTTCAGTGTCAGTAGGTTTAGTGTTGTTGTGACCAGTTTCGCAAACCGTTGAGCTTACATGAGCACAGCATTTGGTAAACAATATACTTTTCTACGAGATCACAACATTATATAAGATCTTTTAAAAGCGATAATTTTTTTGAAATTTTACAGTTGGAATGTTAAAAAACTGCAATGCTTGATTGCACATGTTGGTTGCAGTGAATCATCTTATGCTCTGGTGATACAAAATGTGTATATATAAACTTGTGCCATTTTAGTAGAATAACCAGGGCATGGGCATTGGGTATGTTCTAAAGTACATCATACATACGCCGTGGGTAGTTCTCGGTAAGTTATTTGGAGTTTCCGCTAGTCTAAAACCGATTGGATTTGATATAGACACACACACGCGCGCGCGCACACTTATATATATATATATACACCCCTAAACATTCAGTTACTTTTAAAGTCGCTTTTTTTAATAAGTGCCTATCCAGGTAAATAAAAATTAATATAGTGTAATTTATAGCATCAATTTTCTACCGTGTTAAGAATTGATAGTTTATTCAACAAATGTTAGATAAAAAATTTAAGGGCAAAAAAAAATATTAAAATAAATTTTTCCTGATTCATTTCAATTATTCTATAAATTCAAATGAGTTGATGCCTAACCGCATTGTCAGTGTTACAAACATCTTCTCTTACAAATCAAAATAATCTTCAGTCCTTCATACATACATACATACATATATATATATATATAACTATATACATATATATGTATATATGCGCGTGTTGCCATATATAATAAATAAATGAAAGATACATGTGGGTGACAAATGAATGTACAAATACAAATTATCATACCTAAAAATTTATTATTTAGTAACAGGGCAGTTTTTAAATCGACCAATTTAATCAATGAAAGAATAACAATCAGCCATAAAATAAAATCCAAGTTATTTGAAACATTTATAAATTTTGGTCAACAAACCACTGCCCTACCTATACAGTTGATTTGGATGCTCATGCATGTATCAGCAATAAATGAAAATACTATAGTGACCAATTAATGTGATTGAGATATACAACAAAATCGTAATAACGAGTGCAACTATAATGGATAATGATCATATAAAATGTCAATAAAAATATTTCCAAAAAACATTCTGCATAAATACAAGGGGTTAATTTTCAAGTTGTCTGTAAGCCTGTTTGGAAGTGCATATGTTGCCATATTTATTGAAATGAATGTCAGTGGAGAATGGCGTTCTGTTAAGCTGGAGGTGGAGGTGGTGGACAGGGCCTTGAAGCTGAAAATTTAAATTTACAAAACATTACATAATATAAATTCAAAATTGAATAAAACTTATATTATTTCTCTTGTTTAAAACTTTGACGTCACACATTCATTATAATTTTTGTAGGAAAACATTGCCAAACTCCGTGAAATAGCAATAAATCAAGAGACACCGGTAAGAACTAAACATAAAATATAACAAAGCTAGCACTTCTTATTCATTGTTAAAGTTTAAAAACAGTTCTATTCTTATGATAAAGTGCCGTAGTCCTAGCTCAACACATTACATATTTTACTTCTGTCTCTTTCAAAAAAAAATTGGATTTATCAGGTTGTTGTTTTGGAAGAAAAACGTGGACAGACATGATCTAGAAGGTTTGAAGAGTTTTTCAATTTATAAAGCACATTCTGATTCAAAATGGTCAGTTACAAGCAGGTTAAGTTTTTGTAAACCCAGTGCATTAAGAAGTTATTGTTTGTATCAAAAATCTTGTCTTGTTTTTAACCATACTCCATTCAAGAGAAGGCTGCATCATGAAGAGGTTTTCTCCAAGTTAACTCTGTCCTGCACCCTTTTCAGCAACTTTTCTTTTCAACTCAAAAGTATGTGACCCAAAAATTAGGAATAACGTTCAATATTTTGACAAATACACTATGATAGTATCGTGAATAATGACTTCAAACTAACATGAGGCTGTCTGCAATGCACTATTTCTATGTCTTCTAGATTTTAAACTAATATGTGTCCTCAATAAATCTATCAATTTGGTTTTTTCACTTCATTTACAGAGTTGTGTTCATGTGATGTTTTATAAAATCATTTCATAACAACGTCCAATGTTGGGTACAGTTTAGCTAGTGAAAATTTTATATCTTGAGATGCTTGGAAAGTTGTGTATCTCACTAATGTACATGTAAATTAAGCAGTAAGCATCAACAGAGAGAACAATGAGGAAAAGAATGAGGTCACTAGTAAACATAAATATCCTGCAAAAGATAAGTAAGCACTTTAATTGAATGAACTGATGCAATAAATGATAGCAACATGCAACAGCCACAACAAAATGAAAAAAGAACAACAAAATTTGTCAAAAAATCAAAAAAAGATTATTCCATCAAAGCAGAGAGAAGTACAAAATTGGACCAGTAAATTTAAATTACAGATTACTATTATTATTATTTTAGAGAAGTTGAATAATGAACCAATTTCTGCTATGTTGATTTATACTGTATTATAATTACAGGTATGTGCAGAAAAGTTAATCTAAGATTAAATAATTAAAATAAAAAAAATAAAATGATTAAAATATCCAACTTGGTCCATTCATTTTGCTTTTGGCAACTACGCTAGGGTAGATTTTGCTTGATTTTCTGAAATTCGATGGAACTGGAGGAAGATCAGCATTGAACTTAAAATTCATTTCAAAATCTGGTTGGAAATTTATGAGAAAAATATTAGACGCAAATAGTTAAATTTATATGAAAAAATACATAATCCAATACAGAAATGCTAAAATTTTTAAGCAACAATGTTCAGTGTTATTTATGAGAATAAAACTGAAGCTCGAGCGTAATCATGAAATCATCAGTCTAATTACAAAAATAAAGAGGACGCTATAATAATAACACTAAATAATAATAAAAATGAGAAGAAAACAATAATAAAATTAAACCACAAAGAAACCTCATGAACAAGTGACCTTAAAATAAACCTACTTTGGAGGGGTAGATCTTGGAATTGATTTGAATAATTTTTGGAATCAGCCTTTCAATGATTTGCGTTTTAAGTCAAAGGCCAATCCGACGATAAATTCCAAACATTGAATTCATGATTTCAATCAATCAATCTTCGTTTTGCGTCCAGAGACCCGGTTTCCCGAGGTAGGACGTTGTTTTCTTTGCCATCAACTTTTTGCGCCAAATTAGACGATCAGTTGTATCCATTTCATTTAAATTTAGAGCTTTCATGTCTTGCTCGATTGTTTGCGACCAGGACTTCTTTGGACGGCCTTTGGGGCGTGTGCCAGGTACTTCAACATCTGCAAGAGAAGTTATGGCACTGTTTTCACTTCGTTTGACATGACCAAACCACCGCAGACGGTGTTGCCGGCATTCGTCCTTTATATCATCTAAACCAGCACGACCCAGGATTTCAGTAGATTTGATGTGGTCCTTCAGACTAATTCGTTGCATCCATCGGAGCATTTTCATGTCGGTTCGTTGAAGTTGTTGTTCCAGTTTGGTTGTCATTGGCCATGTTTCTGCACCATATAACAACACCGGGCGTATCACAGATTTATAAAGTCTTGATCGTAATAGTAGTGGGATGTCACGCCGCATCAATATAGAGGCAAGGAGATGCCATTTATTCCAGGCTGCACGTATGCGTGCTCGAACGGCAGCTTCAGCTGTTCCAGTACAATCCAGACTAGATATTGAAACGATGTGACTTTCTCTACCTTAATGGCTTCGAAAACAGTGCTATTTCGAATTTGTTGTTGAGGATTGATGCAAGCAGGACAAACAAAATTGGACACTTTAGATAAAGTACCAATTATTTTTGAACAACGTTTGTGACACCACTGGTTACACTGCTGACACTTGATTGAATGGTTACCTACACCAGCTTTACAAACTGAACAGGGCCATCGTCCAGTAGCTGTGGATTGGATGGGTTCACCAGTGTTCATTGCTTTGGTTTTGCTGATGTTGACTTTGAATCCATGATCGGCGAGTCTGGTGTTCCAATCTTCAAACATCTGTGCTGCATTCTGCTCAGACGTGGCTGTTGAAACGATATCATCAGCATATACTAGATTCCAAATGTCACCAGTGCGTATCGGTTTTGTGATTTCTTTTGAATTTCTTTTGAATTCATGATTTGTAATTAAGAATTTGTAAGTGAACTTTTGGACCTCTCATACTTCTGATGAGGATGTATTAAAACAGTCTGGTTATAAAAAGAAGAAATTGCTGCAAATAATCTGACAGGTCAGTTAACGTTTTTTGGTCACATCATGCAGATGCAAGAAATGGAAAAACTAACAACTACTGGAAAGATTTGAGGGAGAAAAGATAGCAATCAACAACGAATAACATTCGTGAAGTCTCAGTGTTACTTGTTAAACACCACCACATTTCAACTTCTACAAAGTGTTAAGGATCGGGTTTTGTGGAGGTCGATGGTCGCCAATATCTTGAAAGATTAAGGCACGAGAAAGAAGAATTAAGATAACCCTCTGCATAAACAATGATGGAAAATTCAGCAGTGATAACATCCAAAATTTTTTAAAATCCATTTTATTAAAGCCAAATACCAGAAATCTATTCAATTTATTTTTTGCATATTTAATACAGTATCAAGTACAAAATCATTTTTGTAATTTTTTGGAAATAGTAAAAATTCCTATTGGTTAATTAAAATAATTTCAAATTAAATTAACTTCAACAATTTGTATATCTTTTGAAACTTATTGTCTCCATATATTCAGTATATTTGAAAATCACAGCTGATTAATATGAATAAATAAACAAGTAAACATGTTTTTTTCAATAACTTTTTTTATTTTTTAACTGTTGGCAAAAAATATTAAAAATAATTAAAAATGTTGTATTTTTATCTAACAAAATTATAAATTCATAACTGATTTTTTATTTTTGAAAACTGCTTCTTAAAGGTTACAAAATGGTTTGAACTAACTAGTGCAAACCAGTAGGATGCCATGACTGAACATAGGCAAATTCTGTATTATTGTATAATCTCTTGACCATTTAAAATCTTTCAACCTCAACATATTGGGAAAAAATCATAACAATCAACGACTACAGCTTCCGAAGATAAAAATGTCAGTAAGTTCTGGTGACAACTGAAAATCAATCTCATTATTAAAATATGAATAATTTAAAAGGTAGTGCAAAACCATCTATAAAAATATAAACATGATTAAAACAATAAAACTGTAGAAATTCACAAATAATAATTCTATTCCTTCAACCACAAACACTTAACAGTTGTATAGCAATAACAATATGGTTTGGCATATTGGTATAATTAAATTGTAGGAAATAAAAAATATCTCAATTTGTTGAAAGCATCAGGCTAAGCAAAAATGATAATGGTGTTGATTAAAAATTAAAAAGAATATCGTTAGTAAATTTTAAAGTTTACAGAAAAGGTAGGTTCTCCACTCAAGAAAAAATCCTACGGTACAGAAACATTTGAAAAATATAAAATTTTCAACATTATTGCCAAAATTTAACAGAAAGTTCAAACAATAACTAAAGGGGATAAATAACTCTGAAAAACGAAAATAGTGTAAAAATTAATAAGAGATTGCAAATAAATTGACTTTAATTGAAATTAACCTGATAAATTGGGATCCTTTGTAGGCACATGAAAAGATGGCAGCTCACTAGATGTGGATGGCTGTCGAGGTGGTGGTGGGGGGTTTATAGATCGAACAGGTGGTGGCGGTGGTGGAGGACCCCCAGGAACTCGAGGTAATCCATTTTTTCCCTGTCTATGTAGCGAATCTTGTGAACTATGTGAAGTATTTGATAAAGGTGGTGGCGGTGGTGGTGGAAACATTTTATTCTCAGACGACCTAACAGGAGGTGGAGGCGGTGCCCTGATATTCATTGGTTTGTTGTTGGGTAGAGCAGGTCTCACGAGTAAATTTTTCCCAGAAAGTGTTGAAGATTGATGATTCGGTGGAGGAGGCGGGGGAGGTGATGTTATTCCTAAACCAGTGATTCGACCATTGGCTCCTCGACCTGTTAAACTTTCTTGCAAATTTATAGAGTCCTGATTATAATTAAATTTTGCACTAGCAGGGGGAGGTGGTGGAGGAGATAGATTGACACTTGGTGGTCGCACGCTTGGTGGTCGCACTCTTGGTGGTCCAGGTGGTCCCGGCGGACGGGGGGCATTAGATCTGAAACCATTTTGTAGTGGTGCCCTCGAAGGTTGTTGAACTTTTGAAGAAAAAATTTGAAATTAGTTTTACACCCTATATACTGATAATTAAAATTTTGAAATGATTAACTGTCTTCTATTTCTTAACCTCAGTGAATTTATTTTGACCAGTAAAAAAAATTGTATCCCTTACTTGAATGAACTTTTTTAAGAAATTTAGAAACCGACATTATTTTTAAAACATCGACAAATAAAATTCCAAATTGGCAGAATTTAGAATTTTTTGACAAACCAGATTTCTACAAAAAATCCCAAATTAGGAAGCAAAAAATATAAGACAGCCTAATCATTTTAAACAATTTTATCACTATTTCGTCTACATATAAGCAAAATTATACTGCAACTAAGAAACCATAGAGAAGGCAATCCAATTATTTGGTATTTGCGCATTGAAATGTGAAAACATATACACTGAATATGTGTTAAAACATTAAATAAGTGATGGATGGCATGACGGTTTTTGGATTGAAATCACTTAGCCTTGCACTGCAATAACTGGGTTTGAATGCAGAGTTCTTGCCTATCATACACATGTGATCCACTGACTCATCATGAGTATTCATTCATACAGGCTGTGTGTGCCTGTGTGTGTGTGGTGTGTCACTGATACTTCTAATCTGACTAATGCATTCAGAGAGAATAACTAATAAAAGTGATAAAACAGAAGATCCAGTTAGATTTAAAACCTGGTGGTTGTGGCCCGCCAGCCCCTTTCAACCTGGGTACACCTCCTCCAAACAAATCAGCCAAGCCAGGAGGAGCATTGGATTTTCCACCTCTTCCACTGGCTGGGCCAATTGTGCTCGTCGATGAATTAGGACCACCTAAATATATTGCATTATCATTCATTGATATATTTTATTTAAGCAATGGTATAAAGAGAAGCATGTTAATATCATTTTGAGCAAAAAAAAGTAACATAATATTGAAATTTTGTTATTTCAATTTATTTAATATAGAGATTTAGTTAAATTAATTAATATAATATGGAGATTTTATTAAATCAATTAATATAATATTGAGATTTTGTTAAAATCGAAGTAGGAGTGGAAAATAAATTAATATACTAAAACTTTACTAAAACCATATTGTGAAATGCAATTTAATATTAAATTGAAATTTTGATAAAATGAAAATAAATGGCAAACATTATACCTATTCAAATAACTATTAAATATATGAAAACTATTTTATTAGCAATTTAATTGATAATTGTCTAATGGAGAAAGTTATATATGTTAATGAAAAACAATTATCTGACAATAATTACTCATGATTATTTCAATTATCATCTAACAAAAAATAACAGAGCATCCTCTTCAGTTTTCAGATTCAATGTTGGTTCATTAGTAAATATATCATAGAATTCATGAATACAGCCAAAATGTTTAGTGATATACAATAAAACAATCATGCTAAAATTTGCTAAGAAAATAACTTCACCTTAATATGCTAAGACATGAATTAACTGAATCACTAAATCATAACTAATTACTAAAATATCACAGCTTTTTTAATCTAATAGTACCATTATGAATTCCACTATTGATAACAAATATTGTATGAAGTACTGGTAAACTCTCATTATGTGATCCCCCCTTGCATGTGACTCTCCCCGCTTCCAAGCACAGCAGCTCCATTATTTTCTAATCTTATTTCTTATTCATCAGGATCTTGTTTTTTGACTGAACAAGTATTTGGGCCCAGAAGAGACAAAATAAAATGTTGAAAGCACCAACCAAGGTAGTAATTCCTTCCTTAGTTTAAAAGAAGCTTTTTTAACTAAATTAAGATGTAAAAATATGACTAGAGGAAGTGTTAGAGATATTAAGTATCTTTTACCATAAGAATGTGAAAAGGTATAACACACTAAATGTCAACCTGAGATAATCTAGTAAGCATAAGCTTACATGATCTACAAATTTGTGCTATGTGCAATGCATTCATCAACCTTAATTAAATATATTAATTTTCTATTTACACAAAAAAGGGTGCTAGGAATAAATGTCAAGTGAAATTTGAAAAAATTACATAAAAAATAAATTTATAAAAATAAAACATAGTGATCAGGTTACTGTAAATAATTTTTTAATCAGTTTCGTTAAGGGCTTGAAATAGATGTTATCTGATATAAGAAGCATATTAAAAACACTACCATAAGGTTTGCTGTGATTAAGTCCACCAGATATTGTACCAAATTTATTAGCCGATTTTCCTGATTTTTAACATAATTAAAAAAGTCAACTATAAAACTTTTAATTTCTAAATTTATGATTATTATTTATGATTTAAAAAGTTATAAGAAACATAAAAACTAAAAAGACAATTAAATATTTATAACTAATTATTTTTACTTATTATTAATTTTCATGTATACAATAATATATAATAGTGGAATAAAGTAATTTTAATAAATAGAAACTTGAAAAAATTATAAAATTGAATGAAAAATTTTTATTTCAAAATATAAAATAGATAAGAATCATAAGATAAACCATCAAACTCAAACAGTACCTACCTTCCTTGCCAATGACAGGTTTACTTTTGTCAACCATCAAATGAGAAGACTTTTTCAAAGCCTTACCTTTACAAATATCACCCAGCAAGGCTGATCGGTTGTTAGTTTCAGATTTTGATAGTTTTGGGGGTGCTGTAGAGGAGGGAGGAGGTGGTGGACCTGGTGGAGGAGGGGGAGGGGGAGGCATGACACTTGATTTGATTTCAGAACTGAAGCTAAGTTTAACTTTAATGTTTAAAAAATAGTTTCAACAGTATTTTGTAAGTTCGTCCAACAAAATACAGTTCAATGCAAGCAATAGAATTAGAATCTTATTGAACATGAATATTGATGACTATCCTTGTTTTTTCTGCTTCATTGATTTCGATGGTGGTCAATTTTCAGAAAAATTAACTATGAAAAATGTTGGAGATGCCAAATTAACTAACAAAAAAAGTAATACACTAACTATTAAATAGAATAGAATCAGAATAGTATACTATAAATACAAAAATATAAATAAATTAGTGAAGACAGAAGGAAGAGGAAGGAAGAAACCCCTCAATATTTTTATAAGAAGTTCAGTTCGGACAATAGATTGTTCACGAAAATAAAAATAAAACTTTGTATATACCATTATAGACTATGAGGAAAAAGTTGATAAAAATTTTTAATTAGCATCAATTTTAATTTTTTTTTAAATTCCAGGGGCCGTTCCAATTTGCCAAACAAAACATTGAACAGTTATACGCACCGGATAAAGATAAACAGACGGATATAATGAAAGTGTGTTCATTTTCTTCAGTTTTGTTAATAATGTTAGGCGCTAAAAAATCAATTATTTCAATGTCCAATCATGTGTCATACATTTATAGTGATGAAAAATAATTTAGGTTGAGACTGGGATTAGGTTTAAAAATCTATAAAAATTAAGCCACAGAAATTCAACTTGAATTTAAAAAAGTTTTTGTCAATATCAACCTCATGGATATATATGATCAACCCCGAACGATTAATAATCATCTGCTAATGGAAGATGCTTTATATCCATAAAAAAATTTTAGACTGGAATTACCCCGTCGGATTTTTCTAATCACATACTTTTACTGGGGGCAAGTTTGATGGACGTCACACTACAATTTTGTGCAAAAACATCAAGGCATTTCCATGAAACAACATGGATGCTGGAGACGTGATATTTCAAACTTATATTGCCTTATCGTATTCTTCCCATTACAAACTACATTGTCTGGGAGCAAAAGCAGAAATAACGTCAAACATTCATAATAATTGATGTAGAGGGATCCCAGCAGTATATTTAAATTCCATATATACTAATTAAAATATTTGTTTTAATTAATTTAATTTAATTAAAACATAGTCTTATCTAGGATTGATTATTGTAACTCGCTCTACTATGGTCTTCCTGATTCTATACTCTATCCTTTAAGTAGAGCTTTTAACTCTGATGCTCATCTAGTTGCTCGTGCCCCTTTCTTTTCTCATATATCTCTATATCTTGTTCTTTTGCATTGGCTATCTATAAAATATAGAATAATTTTTAAAAATTGCACGTTTATGTAAAAGTCTTAATCTAAATTATTTCCTAAGTACTTATCAGATATATTAATTAAATCTAAACGCCCCGGTTTACGATCGTCTTCTTGATCTCGCTTCTTCTTAACTTGTATTAAACACTCTTTTGCCAAATCTGCTTTTGCTTTTTCTGACCCTTTACTCTGGAACTCTCTACCTACTTCTCTGACTACTTCTCCGTTACTTCCGAAGGTCAAAGCGGATCTCAAGACCCATCTGTTTTCAAAATTCATTGAGGAGCGCTGTTGAACATCGCGGAAATAGCGCTTTACAAGCTGATTGATTGATTGATTTTATTAATTATTCTATTTTATGTACATGGGTTTCGGTGATTGGCCAAATGCTAAAAATTAGGATATAAAAACCGTTGAACATGAACAATGGTTCAGTGATAAAAGCAAACGTCAATGTTTTAGGTCAATAGTACATCAAGTACCAAATTCCAATTCTGATTTGTCGATTCGACACCAGTGTGTTTAAAGTTCCCTCTTGAACTGACCAAGTGATAAACCAGTTTAAAAAAACTTTTGCCTTTTCTTGATGATCCTACTCTTCTCCTTCTTGTTACTTCGTTAGTCTTATCTAGGACTGATTATTGTAACTCGATCTACTATGGTCTTCCTGATTCTATACTCTATCCTTTAAGTAAAGCTTGTAACTCTGCTGCTCAACTGACCAAGTGATAATCCAGTTTGACCAAGTGATAATCCAGTTTGACCAAGTGATAATCCAGTTTGACCAAGTGATAATCCAGTTTGACCAAGTGATAATCCAGTTTGACCAAGTGATAATCCAGTTTAAAAAAAACTTTAGCCTTTTCTTGATGATCCTACTCTTCTCCTTCTTGTTACTTCGTTAGTCTTATCTAGGATTGATTATTGTAACTCGCTCTACGGTGGTCTTCCTGATTCTTTACTCTATCCTTTAAGTAAAGCTTTTAATTCTGCTGCTCGTCTAGTTGCTCGTGCCCCTTTCTTCTCTCATATATCTCCAAATCATGTTTTCTTGCACTGGCTACCTATAAAATATAGAATAATTTTTAAAAATTGCACGTTTATGTATAAGTTTCAATCTAAATTATTTCCTAAGTATTTATCAGATATATTAATTGAACTTAAACGCCCCGGTTTAAGATCGTCATCTTGTTCTCGCTTCTTCTTAACTCGTGTTAAACACTTTTTTGCCAAATTTGCTTTTGCTTTTTCTGACTCTTTTCTCTGGAACTCTCTACCTACTTCTCTGACTCAACCTATTATTGGTTTACGTTTAGCGTGATGGCGGCACGTTTTCTCGGTGGTTTTGTAATTTGGGTGGATTCTTGTTTTTTGCTTCTGAACAAATGAGTTCTCTTCTTTTTTACTATGACTATTTTTTTTCTATATCTTTCTACATCTTTTTCTTTAACTTGTAAATATTATTATGTCTTATTCTAGAGACTTTCTCTTAAGCTCCCTAACACTCCTTTGTCTCCGACGAGAGTTGTTCGGCGGCGAATTTTTTACTTTAATTTTAGGTCTAATAATAACAATAAAAATAATAAATCTAACTCTAAGAAAAAAATAAATATAGTTAGTAACCATAATTATATTAATAATAATAATGCTAATAGCAAGTATAATAAGAATAATAATAATTTTATTAAATCCCACTCTAATTAATACTAATGATAAGAATAATAATTCTAATTCTATTAGTTTAAATAATATAACTAGATTTAAAAGTACCAATTTCCAACCTACCTCTACATTTTCACTGTTTAATATTAACATAAGATCAATTAATAAAAAAATCGCTCTATATCCGTCAAATAATCTCTTCCTCCTTACCTGATTTTTTTACTCTTACTCAAACTTGGCACGAGGACTCTAACTCTCCCTCTCTTATTCTTGCTACTCCTGATGGTTACAGCTTCCTTGAACTCTCTAGACCTCCAAAAAATCTTCTATCATCTTCTCATTCTTCTTATGGGGGGTATCTGTCTGTTTTATAAATCTCTATTTACTGCTTCCATTAATACTTCCTTTCATTTTTTTTCTTTTGAATGTCTTGCTGTATCTCTTAAGTCTTCTTCTCTATCTTTTTATATTGCTGTAATCTATCGCCCTCCTTCTTCTTCTCTCACTTTATTTTTAGATGAATTCTACTCACTCGCTGAATCTCTCTACTCTTTTTCTATACCTTTCTACATCTCTGGTGATTTCAACTTGCACTTCAATAATTTATCATGTTCCTACACTCGTAGATTTAATGATATTTTGTCTCTTTTTAACTTAACTCAATATTGTTCTTTTCCTACCCATACTTCTGGTAACACTATTGATTTTATTATAGCTTCATCTTTTTCTAAGCCTATTAATATCTCTGCTAGTTATGTTCCTTATTCTGATTACCTTCTTAATGAATCTGTTTTTTCATTAGATTTTCTTCCTTCAAATTCATCTATGTCTATTTCTAAAAGATGCTGGTCTTCTCTTAATAAAAATATTTTTCTTCAATCTCTTACTGAAACTATTTTTGATACTACCTTACTTTCTGATGTTGATGATTTTGTCTGTGCTTTTAATATCTACATTACTTCTATTCTTGATAAGCTTATTCCTCTTAAATCTTTTACTTATAGGCTCTATTCTCGTAAGGCTCCTTGGTTTGATTATGCTTGTGTAGTAGCCAAGATAAGTCTTAGAAGACTGGAGAAAGTCTATAGGTTAAATCCATCTAACTCTCTTTATTCTATCTATGAATCTGAATTGATTAATTATAAATATCTACTATTCTCTAAACACTCTACCTTTCTTAGAAATTCTATAACATCTGCTTCAACATCTAAAAATAGGTGGTCGGTTCTATCTAAACTTCTACATAAAAAATCTTCTCACTCATCTTTTTCTGCTCAACAGGTTCATGACTTTTTTGTAAATAAAATTACTTCTTTAAGAACATCTAATTCTAATTTTTCTTCTCATAACTTTACTAAACTTACTACTGAATCTTTCTCTGTATTTACTCCAATAAATCTTTTAGAACTAACTAAAATTATTAATTCTATGTCGTCTACAACCTGTTCTCTAGATCTACTTCCTTCTAATTTACTTAAAGAATTTTCTTCAATATTTTATCCAATCATTCTCAAATTAGTTAATTTATCTCTTTCCACCTCTAAATTTCCTACTTCTTATAAGAATTCTATTGTTACTCCTATTCTTAAAAACTCATCCCTCAATCCTACCTCTTTATCTAATTATAGACCTGTAACTAATATTATTTTCATCTCTAAAATAATAGAAAAAGTAGTTTTTATTCAACTGTCATCCTATTTAGACTTTAACTCCTTGCTACCTGTATCTCAATCTGGTTTTAGGGTTCTATCCTTGGCCCTCTTCTATTTATACTCTATACTTCTGAACTACCTCGTATTATTAATAACTTTTCTTTCTCTAGTCAACTATATGCTGATGATTCTTACATTTATACTTCTTTTCCTCCATCTAATCTCAATAGTGTTCTTCATAATTTATCTCTATGTCTTTCTTCAATTATCGCTTGGTCTGACTCTATGTGTTTTAAACTTAATCCTTCTAACTTTGAATTAATTTGTTTTAATAAATCTAAACATTCTATTACTATTTCTCCTATTATCTTACCTGATTCTAAAACTCATGATGTCTCTCATAAGTTTCGTAGTCTAGGTTTTATCTTTGATTCTACTATGTCTCTCTCTTCTCAGATTAATAGTGTTGCTAGAAGCTCTTACTTTCATCTACGTAGAATAAAAAAACTTTTGCCTTTTCTTGATGATCCAACTCTTCTCCTTCTTGTTACTTCGTTAGTCTTATCTAGGATTGATTATTGTAACTCGCTCTATGTATGGTCTTCCTGACTCTATACTCTATCCTTTAAGTAAAGCTTTTAACTCTGCTGCTCGTCTAGTTGCTCGTGCCCCTTTTTCTCATATATCTCCATATCTTGTTCTCTTGCACTGGCTACCTATAAAATATAGAATAATTTTTAAAATTTGCACGTTCATGTGTAAGTCTCAATCTAAATTATTTCCTAACTATTTATCAGATATATTAATTGAACCTAAACGCCCCGGTTTACGATCGTCTTCTTCTTCTCGCTTTTTCTTAACTCGTGTTAAACACTCTTTTGCCAAATCTGCTTTTGCTTTTTCTGGTCCTTTTTTCTGGAACTCTCTACCTACTTCTCTGACTACTTCTCCATCATTTGCAAAGTTCAGAGCGGATCTCAAAACCCATCTGTTTTCAAAATTCATTGAAGAGCGCTGTTGAACATCGCGGAAATAGCGCTTTATAAGCTAATTGATTGATTAATTGATTGATTGATTGATTGATAGATTGATTGATTGATTGACTACTTCTCCATCACTTACAAAGTTCAGAGCGGATCTCAAGACCCATCTGTTTTCAAAATTCATTGAGGAGCGCTGTTGAACGTTGCGGAAATACCGCTTTACAAGCTAATTGATTGATTGATTGAAGCAACAAGGAAGAGCATTCCAAACAGATGGACCACTTTCAGAGATATTACGCGAATCAATCTTAAGCTTGGTCACAGTCGTGACCAACGTATTAGCACTATAGTTGATCTCAAATCATAGTCACTCAACACCTCCTTTATTTGCCAACATCTATCGGCTAAATATTTTGGTGCCAAATTGTTCAGACATCTAAAAACCATAACAGCAATTTTAAAAATAATTCTCTTATGAATAGGCAGCCAGTGGAGGCTGTTTAAAATTGGCATAATATGGTCACACCAGCGACAGCCGGTAACAATCTTGACGGAACTATTTTGAACTGATTGCAGCATGGCTATTTTCTTTTTAGAAACACCATACAAAAGACTATTAAAGTAGTCAAGGCAATGAAAGCGTGCATAAGTTTCGTAGCTAAACACTTTTTAATTAGTGTAAGACGACGAAACTGAAACATACACATGGCAAGCACTTTTTTCAGGTGATCACACATATTCAAATTGGTGTCGATAGTAAATCGAAGGACAGTTGAATTTCTGCAAAATTCAATTACAGTGCCATCAATTTCAACCGAATTTAAGTCAGTCTGTGACAGTCTTTGCCACGTACGAACGGGGAGTAAGTTTGTTTAAGACTTATTCATTCGAATGCCATTTTGGTCCATCCAAACATTAATCATAGAGAGACAGTTAACAAGTCTTTTTTTAAACCCATAACAAAACTAGTTGGAGTGCTGGAAACCAACTGAATGTTATCGGCAATGTAGATACATATATATATATATATATATATATATATATATATATATATATATATATATATAATTATTTAAAGATTGTATTTTCAATTTTTCTTACTAGAATTTTCTGGAAATTGTTCAATTTGTTGAAAATAAAATTATCCAAGTTCATCATGAAAATTTAATGAAACTCTTTTATTTGTCTGCACGGCGAATGACAATTTCTTCATTTTCTTTTAATTCCTTTGCAACAGTTTTAAGATCCTCTGTTAGAAGTTTACTCTTAAAATTGCCTCTGCTTCAAAATTGTAGCTTAACCGCAATGGATGAATTCACTGTAATCTTAGTTTGCCGTTCTACCTCGTTAATTTACACCTTCAGTTTTTCAATTTCTATCGTTTTTTCAGTATTGTTCGGTTCCTTTAGTTTAATCCTAAATTTAAAAATTCTTTTTGTTTATCAGCGAGGGGGTATTCACTGAGGTTAATAAACCGATCCGTTGATCCATTTCTATTTGCTCTTATTAGATTAGATTTGTCAACTTTTTATGAAATTTAACCCTTGAAGTGTATTTATAAGGAATGAGACTTTTGTATTGGGCTTTGTTGAGTTCATCTTTGATGGTAACAGCCATTTCACATCTGTTCCATTTATCTAATAGGTTATTCAAAGAAGCTGATATATGCTGAACTTTATTTTGTTTTGTTCCTAAATCCCGGGGTAAAATGAAGCAACTGCTGCTCACATTCTTACTCGGTTGTCAGGATTTGTCGGTCGGTATTAGAAATAAGCGTAAACGTTGGAAAGAGACTATATTTCATAAGTATTGTATGAATTCTACCGAATATATATAAATATAATATCAAAGCGTGATTTATCTATGCAATCAATTTAAAACAGGGCGGTTAAGGTTGTGGATAATAGATTTGACCATGTGAGCCCAACACTGGAGGAATTGCATTGGTTGCGGGCTGATAAGAGAATTGTATTTAAATTATGTGTATTAATTTATGTCTTTGAATAATGTTGCACGACAAAATATGACCGATTTGTTTACTAAAGATATTAATAAAACAGAGTTGTCAAAATATCAATTGAGGTCATTTTTGTGTGTGCCAAAGACAACCCTCAAAATTGGATCTCCAAATAAAATATATAATCATATAGAGTTATATACATATATTCTTAATAAATATTCTCTCTATATATGTATACAATATATAAGTTATTCTAGTTATGTGATATAAATATTCTAAGTATGAGAATGATCATATGTAGAATATGCGAAGGTTTCATTTCATTTAATTTGGCTATCTATGTTGTGCTGGGTAAAGTAAACTTTACGATCTACTGTTGTTTTCGTATGTGGTTGTCATGTCGAAAGTGGAAATGATTCGGCAGACTTTCGCCTTCCTTACAAGAGGAACGGGATTTGATAAAGTGTTACAAAAAGTAATTTTTTATTTTCAAAATTAGAATTTCTTGTGCAAAGATGGCTCTACCCCCTACATTGCATCGTGATTGTAGTATTAGCAGCTACATAAAATTTATTTATGTCATAAAGACACAAATTAATCATTAATCATAATCAACAAAAATATTAAAAAGATTAAAATTCACTAGAAACTAGACTAGACCGCCATATTGGCGGTAGATATTGTAAACAAGTTTGAATACCATCTATCTTCTATTTGTAATGTATGAGCAGTTTTTAAATAAACAGAAGCGTAGGGGTCATGACATCATTCTCTCTCTATCCTATAGTTTTTCATAGTACTGTTGCTGAAGGTTTTAATTTTAAGATTTGAAATCCAAACCTAACTTAAATTATTTATAATAGTAATAATATAGTATAGATATGCTTAATCATGCCTTGTTTGCCAAAATTTCACTTTCATGACAACATTGCCATTATGAATTGTATGCCTAGATCATTGAAGTTTATTTTAGCATAACAAAATGATAAAGTATATGAGCTCTGACCAAAAGTCCATAGTAATATCAAAAATATGACATATTTAAAAAAGTATTATGTAAAAAGATTTAAAGTAGAAAAAATGACACCTTATCAGCAATCACATGTGTGAATTCATACTATAAGTCAGCTCTGTAGTTGTCCATGGTGATTAGATGCTTGCAGTATAAAATTCCAGCTTAGATCACATAAGGAACTTATAATTGATTTATTTATACAAGTTGCAGATATGTTTATAAAATTGTGAACAATTGTCAAATATAGCACATAAATCATTTAACTTCAACACCATAATCAAATTGTACCTTGCTATAATTTAAACCCAATCAATATATGCCACTTTACCATATCTCATTACTACAGAAATATTTACATATGATTAAATGCACCAATCATTAACCATTATGTTAGGTTAAACCATTTAAACAAGCTTGAAGATCAGTCATATCTTCAAAAACAAAATCTTAGTAACAATAATGTTCAGCATTAAATTTATATGCTTTTTAAATTGTATAAATTTTTTCTTTTTTATCCAGCTCGTCGTGAAGGAAGCAACAGAAGGCAGATGTGTTTGTGAATTAAAAGTTGGTGATGAGCATACTAACAGAGGAAAGACTCTTCATGGTGGAATGACAGCTACACTGGTTGACATGGTAAGCACTGCAGCATTGATGACTAAAGAAAACATGGGCCCTGGTGTCAGTGTGAACATCAATGTTTCGTAAGTTTGTAACTTTAAATAAGATTAGATGACTTAATGAATGTCTTAGAAATGTTATTTATGCAGGTATATGCAACCAGCTTTTATAGGTAATGATCTAATAATTGACTCATCTGTAATCAAGCTAGGTAAAACGTTGGCATTTTTATCCGTTGAAATAAAAGATAAAGCAAGTAATAAACTGATTGCCACTGGATCACACACCAAATTTTGTTTAAAATCAAAATAACTAACTACAGTTACTTTACTTTCAAAATTTATTAGATTAATCCATCAAATAAATATTTAACATTTGTAGTTGTATTCGATTATGATTCTAAAAGCTTCAACTTTTCAAGGATGCTATTTAAGTATTTTGGTAAAAACTTTAATAATCTGCCGCATTTGTTTTTAAAGTTTCCCTCTTTATTGTCAATCCACTGCCGAAAATGATATAGCAATCCAGTGTGAGGTTCAACAGTTATTTGCCAAAGATTTTTGTAGTTTATAAATTTCATTGCTTGATGCACAGCTACTAATTTTGTAACATGGGATCTAACAATGTATTTCGATCTAATATATCCAGGATATATTTTTTTTTCACAGTATGTTCTGAAAGCTGTATTGATTTGGTAGATACTTAGAAGATGTTCAGTTGTTTCATCGAACTCTGAATAATTAGCCAATGTATTTTCGGACCATTGAATAGGTATAAAAACGTTTCTCAGCATATATGATCCTATTATAGGCTGAAAAGTTTGCACATCCTGTAAAAGAACATTTCTAGAGCTCCATTCTGCAGAAGCATGCCTTAGCATTTCAAACCAACTATTGTGAAGTTGGGGAACAATTAATTCATCCATGTCAGAAAAAACTATAAACTTATATTTCAAGAAATTTCTGTACAGGCAATCATTTAGAGCTGCTAACTGAGCAAAGTAGTGAATCTCAATTTCTATTCTAGGATCTTCAGGAAATGGATCCACATTAACTGGTAGGTTCCAATTCAAAACATCAATGATACCTTCTTTTTCATAAAGATTTAATGCTCTTTGAAGTTCATCTCCAACAGAATGTTTATAAAAAGTAAAATGATTGGCTCCAAAAAGTCTGTTAATTTCAATCATTTCTATCAGTTGACTAACGTTGTTGTAATTATTATGTAATGGGGTTACACATACTGAGAAATTGTACAAAGAATTTTTCATGTAAAAAGAGTTATCTTTGATTTTAAAAAAACGTTTTTGCTCTGAGCAGGGTTTAGTAGAAAGTGAAACTGCATATGGAGTGGCCACTTTATCATTCCAGTGACAATTAAAAAAGAATCCTGCATACCTGTGCGTTTATGTAAAAATTCTAAAACTAATTTAAAATTCAATTATTTACAGTGGCGTACCGTGTGAGAGCGTCAAAATGATTGTCAGAACGCTGAATATAAATTATGTATTTTGCAATTTCAAAAATAACGTAAATTTAAACGTTGTTTAATCAGATTTTTAATTTAATAAATTATTATCTAATTTTGAAAGTCCTTTTATAGATATGCTCTAATGAATTGTTAAATTAAAAATCTCTGCATTGTTAGTTCGTAAATATTTGTAGACATTTAACACGAACAAAGCAAGTGAACCTAAGCTGGCTACTTTTCTCAGACAAGTGTTGCCCTTACCGACCAATATTTAATTTTATACTCAACGATCACCCGAATCCATGCTACCTGGAAGTCCCTGCACCAATTATAATGAATAAGTGACGTCAATGTCGCTTTAGCTTCCGGTTCCAGCAATTTAGTAGTGGGAATAGTAGGTCAACACAAAGCAAATGCCATGTGCTTGTACAGACAGGATTCAATACGATTTAAAAAATCAATTATCGAGAGATTCACCCAGAAAACGACAACGCGGTATCTAACAACTGGAAACGTTAGATGAAAAGTTTGGATTTCTTTTGAAAATCAACAAATTGTTTGCTATCGTTTTATAGTTTGCTGTGGGTGTCACAGCAAAATTGTAAGAATCAGTTGAAAAAGTTGTCTCAGCTTTATTATCTAAGTTTAGCATGCCTCAACGATGTAGAAAATGCAGGTTTACAATATTTTCAACTTTTTTTCATAGATGTTATCACTTTTCCAAACAAATCTAAATTGCCTTTTTAAAACCAGCCATAAAACTGCCTAGGTGCACACTGCACAAACTTGTTCTGGTTTTTTTAATTTTATTTTAAATAGTCTACTTTACCAATTTTCTCACAAAACTATCTCTTCTGTTTGTTTGTTTTTACATGCAATGAAAAATCTTTACCGCTTTCATGTGTCATTACAATCAGCAGGACTATATACACTGAATGCTAGTAGATAATATCATCAACAAATTTGTGGTTTTTATGATACTGACACTAGTATCAATTCTACCCGATAATATTTAAAATTTTTAGTTGCTTTTTTCCGATAATTCTGTATACACCTGTCAGCTTCAAATTTTAGCTTATACCTAACCTCGTAATTCTGCATCAATTCTTACTGCCATTTTTTAATCTTCATAAATTCCATTACCTTAACCAGCTTTTCTGATATTTACGGATACACATAGATACTTTCTATAAGAAAACATGATCTCATGGAATCTTAATTGAAAGAAAAATTTTAAACATTTTTTCTGGAGTCAGATGAAAAATATCAGACTTTAAAAGTTCCGACTCTGATTCCTGTAAAAACCTACGACTCCAATCAACTGGCGACACCTTGATAAAAAAAAGTCAAAACAGTTAACTTTAACAATGACAAGGCTGTTGAAAATTTTGCAGGTGCAAAATTATTAAAAGTATTTACATATGGAAGTCATTCATATTCATTCATTTTGTTGTCACACTCAAGCTTTGCATTACTTGCAGAAGATGGTTCATGTACCAATACAGATTATATATTAATGAAAGATAGTAGGCACTGACAAGCCTTGCCGCCCCAGATGCCTGACACCCTCCTTTTGGTACGCCATTGGTTGTTTGAAATTTGGTTTTAAAAATATTTGAATTTACTGTTTATTGTGAGTCTCTGGAAAAAGAACTTGTTGAACCATAACAATTTCTGGTTTGTCTTTGTCATGAAACCATAAGTAGCAATATTTAACATTTTCTGAATAACTTTCTACGCCCTTAGATATAGCTACTAATTTAACTTCATACAAACTTTCACGTTTATCTACATATGCTGCATAAACAAAAGTCTCATTAGATTTTTCATTACCAACTGATTCCCAAGAGTCTTCTATTAACTTCGTGGGTTTTTCAAGAAACTTATCACAAATACTAACAAAATCGTTATTTTGATACATCTTTACAGGAAAATCTAGAAACTTTTCGACATTTAAGAACTGTTCTGGAAGAAGCATGTCCATAATTCTGCCAGCATTCTTTTTCAAAGGATTTCTTTTGGATTTTAAATTATTGTTGTGAAGGTTGTCTTTTTCATTGTTCTTCCGAAATGAAAAATAGGTGTATGTCAAAAACAAATTCACCAGAAATAATAGAATTATAAAAAATAAAATGGATTTGTATGTACCAAGGACTAGCATGATATTATATATTATTATATATTAACTCAGGATGATACATTTTACCAAGAAATTTTTGATAGGAAAAAGACTCTTCTTCTAAATTACTTATTTTTTCATTTTCAAAATATTCATCTTTTAGATTGTCTGGTTTCCACTTTGATGAAAAATTGATAATTATTTATTGGAAATGCAAAAACTAAATTGACTTGATCCTGAAAAAAGCAACAAATATTTTGAAAGAACATTGATAAATAAGGAACTTTAGTATAAAAATTAATATGAGGCAATTTATAATAATTATATGATATGGTGAATGTCATTAAACTCAACGATTATGAATTAAGTTATAAGATGGATCTATTATAATTATAATATAATTATATTATTATCTGATAATCTTTCTTAAATAATTATTGCCGTAAGAGTAAGTAAATAATTATTGTTGTGCTTGTTATGACTTATATCTTAAAAGTTGAAAGTCAAATCACTTAAAATTTAAATTCCTATTAGAAAATCTAATCAATCATAATAGATTATACAATACATGGATTATGATTAGGATAAAAGATTATTAGAAATTAGATTAAAATTTAATCATTAATTAAATGATAATATTATATATATAATATAAAAATGCAACACACAAGTCACAAACCAACCCAAGTTCAGGTTCAACGAAAATACCTTGCGATGGCCGGTTATTTCAATGAACATTTTGACATGAATTAATTCAATATTATTTAGCAAATTTAAACTAAACTAAACAGTCTATTTTCAGACATCACAACTGCGTTTCCTACTCCAATGACGTCTCCGTGCGTTATATATAAATTTTGTTAACCTAATTGCACTTTTTATGTTTATATGTATATTTCTAAAAGTGAACTTAAAAGTGTTATGGAAAATAGATTTTCTTTTTAATTTAATTTTATCATATACTTATAATGCTTTAATGCTTTTGGTGTCATATCACGCCATGGAATTATATAATTCAATGTATCACGGTTTTGAATATATTAATATAATTTAAATTGTTATTTTACACGTTTAATTTTACCATGAAAATTAAACTGTAGTTTTGGTCATCAGGTATAACTAATTAATTACAACTTACATAACATTACATCATATTATTAGAAAAATAGAAACATTTGAATACAAGTTAATAAAAACTGTAGTATATATATTCCAACATTTATCTAGAATAGATGTCATTTTATCACTCGCTGTTTAATTTTCTATTGTTTTGTTTTAATTTTTAAAGATGGCTTCTCTGGGACGGGCCGCTATCAAGTTGGGCAACAATGTCAAAGAGATTCGAGTACATCTGTGCCAGAAATCTCTATCTAGCAAAGGAGTGAGGTACTCCGATTGCATTTTTTTCATATTTATTGTAATCAGTACTTGTAATTAGTGAAAAATACTTTAATTTTGTACCTTTTTAATTTTGTTTTAATTTATTTTTAATTTAACCTTAACTTTGCTTGGATTTGGACTTACCTACGAAGTGCAATGATTTGCATATGCATAAACGCTTTGCCATTCCGCATGTCATTAATATATAAAAAATATATATAATATGTATAATATATTATTATATTTGGTAATCTTGAAGATGGCAAAGTGGTTTTTCCAGCATATATTCTAAATTATAGTCAGCAGTATAAAAAACAACACACAAGCTCTTTCGGCATAAGTTTACATTCACTATCTCTAATAGAGAGTAAAATAAGCTCCTCCTACTGAAATTCGAAAAGTGCACTAAGATTAAAATAGATGCATGTGCTTTTGCCTTTTATATGTTTTTATTATAATATTATTATTATATGTTTTATTTTATTATAATTTGTACGTATATTACACGTTATCTATACGTATATTATAATTTGCAAGTAGAATTTAGTAAAAAAATGTGTATAATGTATATGTGCATAATCGGCGGAAAGATATATTTAGTTTAACTTTAGTTGCCCCATGTGAGAAGCACCTCAATGATTATACCTCAATGGTTGAGCATTGACGTAGACATAGAAATTGACCTATAACATTACTCTACGGGTACCAAGCATTACAATTTAGGTTAGATTTTGATCCGAAATTGTTCAAAGGTAGATTGCATTGTCAAGCGTTTTACATTATTGTTTTTTTTCAAGTTCAATAACATCTGAAAAAAATTACTCGAAGAACTGTTTTCCTTTTTTTGTATTTTGGCTGTTGTGTACATTATACGGTCGCTAACCAATGAACATGCAAGCTGTATTTAGTTTATTAGTTGCACCGTGGGTGGAGCTTATGAGTCTCTTTAAACTTTTGACTATAAATAAATATTGCTGGAAAAACCACTTTGCTGTCTCCGGGATTACCATGTCATGTCATGCAGAAAGGAAGTAAAAAAGAAAATTCTACGTCCAAATTTTTAACTTCTTAAATAAAAATAAGTAATTAAGTTTTTATATGGAAAAATTTTGTAAAAATAAATAAAGATCGGTGATTTTGTTCAATGAAAACGTACTTTGGTAGAATAACATTCTTGAATAGAAACCCCCACCTTGTGGATGAACAAATGTTAATAACGACATTTGCCCGTTTTAAAGCAAAACTTTCATTGGCATTTGTCTAAGCAATGCATTATAATTTGTTTACGGTTGAGGTCATGTTTTGTTATCGTTGTTAATGTTAAGAATTATTATTAAACGGTAAGGATTCTAGTGGCAATGTTTAGAGTAAATTTTACAGTAAAAGCTCCAACTTTCCTTTCATAATAACACTGTGGGGCACCTGGCTTAGTTATTTGAACCGTGCATAACCAATTGACCATGTCATGGTACAATATTTTTTGTTCAGAGTTATTTTTATTTTATATATTTACATTTAATAAATTATGCATTGCACATCATACACCATATATCTCATATGCTCTTAATAACCGTTCTTATTTTCAAATAATAATCATAAAAATATGCTTACTATGATTGCTAGAATGAACAACAGTGGTGATTACGTTACTGAATAATGTTTTGCATTTTACAAGTTGAAATTTTTCAAGTTTATTATACATATACATATGTATATAGAGTACAGTACCATATAAAATACTATACCATATATGGTCTCCTTCAAACACATATGTTTATATATATATATATATAGAGAGAGAGAGTTGAGACTGTTTTAGATACAATTGTTAAGAAATATCACTGAATTTTCAGCTTTAAAAACCAGAAACTGATCAAAGCTGAAAATGCTGTGATATTTCTAAACAATTGTGTATATATAAATATATATATTTATATATATACACACAATATCTGCCAATATCTGCAATCGCTCAGAATGCCTGGACTAAAGCTTGATGACTTTAAGAGGAACTTAAAAACATATTTATTTTGACATAGAAATACTTTATCGATTTGTACTTTATTGACCTTCACTTTATTGACACTTCATTTATATTAGAGAGCGCCTTCGAGAAATTTCAATTTTATAATGCGCTTAATAAATTGTTGATAATATATATATATATATATATATATATATATATATATATATATATAGGCATCTTGTCTACTTACTCTAACTATATTTTCAAAAACAGGTATTTTTTCATGTCTGATAATACTTTCAGTTTTGAACAACGACTATTGCTATGTGATTAATTGACTACCTATTATTTAATTCTAGAGATTTTATAGAACAACAATATGTTGAGCTGAAGAAAACCAACCCAACATTTCCTTTTTTGATTAGAGAATGTAGCAATGTAGAACCAAAAATATGGGCTAGATACGGTTGGTTATAATAATTAATTTGTATTGTTTTAGTTTTCAAGTTTTTGATTCACATTATTTTTAGAATTTGGAAAGGAAAAATCTGTTTCGCTTGCAAATTTAACAAGTCAACAGGTATCAGAAACACTGAAAACGATGTCAAGTAGTGGGTAAGAAAAAACTGAAAGCAACTGTGACGACGAGATGTAGTTGTACAACTTCAATTTAAAAATATTTATCTGTTTTCCTCCAGAGAAAACTTTTTTCACTTAAAAAATAAATTATTTTAAAACTGTCAAACGTGTTTAAGCAGTGATACTATAGAACCAATAATTAACTATTGCTAAGCGTCAGTTTACTAACCTGGTTTAAAATAAATTTTGTTGACAGAAAATTAAAATATTAGGAGTGCAGTTTGAGTATGAACATAGTTAATTTACATTGTCACAGACTTATCTTTTGAAACGAAGATTTCTGATTTTTGTTTTATATTGGATAAAAAAGCATCATGTGTAACATGCTGTAAAATGGTTAGGGCGTCGTGTTACAGATTAACCATTTAAAAAATAAAGATTGATGCCATTTTGTTTTTGTACTGGATAACGAACATCCTGCGTGATATGACTAAGCAAAAGTGAAAATCACCAAAATGAAAAAAGTTATGCCAACTCTTATAACTTTTAAGTCAAAACAGTTTTGCGCTACCTAATAATGTCCTTGATTGATTCTGAATCATTACTCCATTTCCAGCCTTTGATTATTAGGTAAGTTGATAGTTAAACTTATGGCAACGAATTAAGAAATCATGCTTTATACCAGCGGTCGAAAATTTTTGTTATCTTATAATAGTCGTTTCTTACAATAACACATTAACTCTTTGAAAGTACTAAAAGCCATTAACAATAACTTTAGATTTAAAGTTAAGTTATGCAAGTCAATTATACATTAAAACTCTGTTTTTGTTTTAGATAAAAATAAAAACAACTTAAAAATAACAGAAAAACTGTCAGTTTTCAAAAATCAAATCGATACAGCCCACCACAGTAACGTTACTTTTTCTTTCAGCTGTTTTTATTTAGTTCTTAACATCAGAAAATGAACGAGACCTCGATCTGGTATTTCGAGGATTGTCAGTATCTTTTGCTCCTTCTTTTGTATCATCTTTTGAATTATTCTCAAATCTTGATTTTGAATCTTTGCTGGAACCACTGTCGCTATGGTCTCTGTGTTTCTGATTTGAATAGCTATTTCTGCTTCTACTGCTAGATCTGCTTCGACTTTGTGACATGCTGTAAAAATTTACAAATATAATCAGACAAGATTAATCTGTGAAATTTTTTAAAAATACAATTAATATGTGTAGAAAATAAAATATATAGGTCTTGCATTATAAAAAGCACCCCCAAGAGTTATAATATGTAATGAGAATATGTATGTGCAATCAATCAATCTTCGTTTAGCGTTCAGAGACCCAGTTCCCCCGAGGTAGGACGTATAGATATAGACGTGTAGGTAGAATATGTATGTACGAGGATATTTATTACTATTTCCTAAAAAGCAAAACGATTTAAATCATTTATAATTTATCATTTGGGTTGCCCGTTAATTCAGCAATTTTTACGCCGATTTGTTCCAAAAAAGCTTCGTGTGTCTGTCAGTGGTGCAGAAAGTTTCTATATAGATTAGCCCAAAAAACTGCCATCATTAACTTTGTATTTGTCGTGTTCGAAACAACTGCCTTTACTGCAGATGAGGCAAGTTCAATCGAAATATAATTTATAAACCTTTCGGTCAATGTGTGTGGAAATGTGAAATCCCACGGGACATATCGTTATGACACTACCTCCAAATTTACCAAATCATGTTATCAAACTAAACCAGCTTCTCACAAAATATTTAAATTTGAAAAATGTTCGTAATCTTGACAGAAGTTGTTAAACTTAATTTCTTTACCTGGTCTCGTGTACACAATTATACCGAACGTTTTGTAAAACCAAGGCAGTGGCTCTGAAAGTTAAAAGTTTAGAATTCAAACCAAAAGATTGGTAATTTATGGGCGACCATATTTTCTACGTTAATATTTAATGCGTACCTGGGCTTACAAGATCTAAAATAAAGAACAGAAAATTCCGCTGTCGCCATTTTTTCTTTGACTGTATATTGCGACGCAACTTATTGTCAGCTGTATATGTCAGTAAAATCGGTTAAAGTCATTTCTGTTGTAGCGGTTTGAGTTCATTTGTGTATTCTTTCAATTTTGCAAAATTATAACGCAGATATTGAAAACTTTTGTTAACTTCTTTGTAAATTACAGTGCAGTTTAATTTCCGATTTAAACAAATTTTCTTGTACTTGATACAGATAACGTAAAAATATGACGAATCAAGGAAAAAATAAAAAAATATTTTAAAACCGGTTCCGATATTACAAAAGACGTGATTGATGAATTTGTACATAGTGATCTGATGTGAGTGTACCACCCTTTAAAAATAAGCCGACTGTTCTCTCTTAAACCTACTTATCTGCAATTTCGACGCATAAACATTTTTTTCAGGTTTATTGGAGCTTGCCTTATATTCTACAGGTCTATTTAGAAATTTAGCTCCAACCCACCCTCAAGTCGTATGGGTTTAAACTATACATTTGAGTTTGTAATGTCGGTTATAAATAACGGTGCGGTGATTAATTTTGTAAAACCTTGCAAAAAAGCTAAGGTTGGACGCCAAGCTAATCATTATAAAAAAAAACCCAAACTTCGTAGTTATTACCAAATTCCACCCTGACTGAATTAAAAAACAAGTTTTAACGACCACGGTTAAAACAAATAAAATAACTTTAATATTAAAATTAGCCCTACAAACAAATTTTCTGAGCATTTTAGTACTAATTTAACATTTTTTTAAAATAATTTATTTAGCCAAAAAACTTAGGTAAAGCAAACGTTTCGCAAAATGTATAGTCCCCTGGAAATATATAGACTTCATTCGCAAGTATTTGTTCAGATGTTGACAACCGCGGATAAGCCGCATTATTTGATCAGACGTCTCAATATGACGTGAATTTTTCAAAAAATCTGGGAATCCATTTTCGACATTTTTTGCAGTGTGGCAATGGCACACACTGGAACTAAACCCCAAATAAATTAAATTTTATCATTGTGTGAAATTTCAATAAGAATGTAGGAGATATCACTCGCAAAAAATATTACAGCCCTCATGAACAATAAAAAACATAAACAAACAGAATTGAAAACAAAAAAACTTTGTAAGCTGAAACAGACCGTTTGCTATATTTTCTCCCATCTTTCAATTTCATTTTCTTGCCATCAAATTCGTAACCATCAAACTTTTCAATAGCTTTTAGCACATCTGAACTTGAAGCAAATTCAACAACGCTGTTCAATGTTTAGTTGAAATTATCAAAAAGTTGAAAAACTAAGAACTCTGAATAAAAATACCCTTCTCCTGTTCTTAATTTATGAGCATCAGCAAATGTAACATCACCAACTTTTTTCATAAGGTCTTTAAGATCCTAAGATTTAGAAAACACTAATTTGCATGATTGTGTGAAGTATTTAATCTTTAATGTGGATTAAATAAGATTATACAAGTACAGTATTGTATGAATTTTACAGAATTCACTCAATCAATCTTCGTTTAGCGTCCAGAGACCCAGTTCACCAGAGGTAGGACGTTGTTTTCTTTGCCATCAATTTTTGCACCAAATTAGACGATCAGTTGTATCCATTTCATTCAAATTTAGAGCTTTCATGTCTTGCTCGATTGTTTGCGACCAGGACTTCTTTGGACGGCCTTTGGGACGTGTGCCAGGTTCTTCAACGTTTGCAAGAGATGTTATGGCACTGTTTCCACTTCGTTTGACATGATCAAACAACGCAGACGGTGTTTCCGGCATTCGTCCTTTATATCATCTAAACCAGCACGACGCAGAATTTCAGTAGATTTGATGTGCATTTTGTACACTGTCATTCCACCACCATGTGTCCCGTTAATGCTGACGTTTTGTACCAGTTTTCCCACAAACTGTAGTTGCAGCGTTTATCAAAACGGTTTTGTATGTACTCCAATCTGTACTGGCTTGCGATTGGTGGTCTAACTGTGTTGCGACAATTTGTTGAAATTTTTCTCGATAAATATTTCTTTGCAGCTTCCACGTTTTGATTCTCCGTGACTTATGTTTTGACAGTTCGACAACCAGGTCTGCCACAATGGAGTCTATGTTGGGCGACACATGATTCGCCAGGTATAACTTTTACGTTTTTGAATAGCCTTCGGTGTTGTTGCTTGACAGCGAAGAAATCAATTCGCGTGGCTGATGGTCTACTTTTGTATGTTATGAGATGTTCCAACCTCTTTCTAAAATATGTGTTTAGTAAACAAAACCCGTGACTTTCAGCAAACTCAAGGATTGTTTCATATTTTGGTATTGTTTAGATGGTGTCAGAGAACGCAGCCCAGGAGTCATTGAATTTAATTGATTAATGCCAACAATTCTGTAGAATTCATACAATACTGTATACCATTTGGTCTCCTTCCAACATATTCCTCATATACTGTATATATATATATATACAGTATGAACTACGCAATTTCCATAAAATTCAATACTGTATAAAATATGGTCTTCCAACACACAAACATTAACACACACGCTATATATATATATATATATATATATATATATATATATATATCAATCAATAGGAAACTTATATAGCGCCAATTAAATGTTCTCAAAGGCGCTATCGTAATTATATAAACATTGAAGTCTACAATACTAATAAAAAAACACAACAACTTAAGTAAAATTATCAAAGTTTAACAGTGAACAAATATGTTTTTAATTCTTTTTTAAATGTTCTAAGTGACAGTCCGGATGATCGCAATGACTGTGGCAAGCTGTTCCACACGGTCGGACCTGCAACAGAAATACTCCGTGCACCAATCTGCAAGTGTGAAACCGGTATTGTCAACAAATTCATATCATCTGATCGTAGATGAGACGACGCAGACATTTTTCTTGAAAATTTGTTTACGAGATATTCTGGTGACATCCCATTCAGTGATTTAAACACAAGTACAGCGATTTTGAAGGTTACTCTTTTATCTATTGTCAACCAGTGTAGTTCCTCCAGGATGGGCGTCACGTGATCAAACTTCATCCTGCCAGTTACCAATTTTGCAGCCCTGTTCTGAATCGACTGAAGAAGAGCTATTGACCATCTTGGAAGTTTATAAAACAGACTGTTGCAGTAGTCAATTCGCGATGTTATAAAAGCATGCATCAGCGTCACCAGTGCCGATCTATCCAACGAATGTCTGATTCGATAAATGTTTCTTAAATAAATATTACCTGACGTATATATTTTTTAAATGTAGTCTTTCATTGATAAATTGCTATCAAGTAAAACTCCCAAATTTGATGCAGTTGCAGATAATGATGTCTTTACATCTCCCATCTCAACAGAACAGAAATCTAGTTTTTACAACTGCTGCCACGTACCTACCGGTAGCAACTGCGTTTTACATTCATTGAGCTTGAGCGAGTTTGATGACATCCAATATCCAACCTCTTTCAAACACTGGACAAATTTATCAACCTCATCACGAAACGAACCTGGAGGACCAGTGACTAGAACCTAAATGTCGTCGGCAAACGCATGACAAGTGGATCCATGAGAGGAAATTATTTTGATTATATCTGCTGTGTATAAAATAAAAAGAATTGGTCCCAGAACTGAGCCTTGTGGCACACCTGTTGTTGCCAAGGCAACATCAGACACTGAATTGTTAAACGAAACCTGCTGTGTTTGGTTCGTCAAATACGACCTGAACCATTTATGAGCTGTGTCTGTAATACCATAATCGTTACGTAGTCTTGCCAGCAAAACATCATGGTTTACACAATCAAATGCTGCTGACATGTCTAAAAACGATAACAACGATAAGTTCTGGACGTCCATTGCCGAAAACAAACCAGACAAAACATGTAACAATGCTGTTTCAGTAGAATGGAACTGTCTATAACCGGATTGATTACAAGGCAGTAGATTATTTTCAGATAAAAACCTCAAGAAACTTTTAGCCACTACACGTTCCATAATTTTCGAAATGAATGAAAGATTCTATATCGGTCTGTAATTATTAACATCATTTTCACCGCAACCTGTTTTCTTCAAGACGGGGAGAACCACAGCATGCCTGAAAGAGGATGGAAATTCACCTAATTGAAGGCAGCAATTAACAAAGCTGGTCAGAAATTTGATGAAAATTTTCAAATACTTTGTTTAAGATGTGAGTTGGAATGACATCCTGTGAACTTGTCTTACAGGGGGAATTGATTATAATATCTTTCAATTCATCTTCAGTGACCATCGGGAAGGATGAAAACATAAAAGCATTATGTAGCCCACCATCATCTGTCGATTCAGTAGAAACTTTTGTAGACTGAACAATTTTGCTAACTTTGTCCGTGAAAAACTGCAACAATTGATGGGCTGTAATACCAACATCACTATCGAACATTGAACTTTTCTTGTTTCTACACAACACCTTATTAATTGCCTGCCATTTATTTCTCGAGCTTTTGCTGACTTCGATTAAATTTCTCCAATAATCTGAACGTTTGTCAGAATAAAATTTGTTTCTTGCTTTTATGGAAGTTATCCAATTATTACGATGATCATCTGTCGACAGTTTTCTGAAGATTCTTTCCATTTTTCTACATGTTTGTTTAGGTTTTATACAATCATGATCAAACCATGGTGCCATACGCTCACCTCTATCATAGGTTACTCGAACAGGCACAAATCTATCAACAATACTCTTTAACTCGTTGTTAAACATTGTTAGTTCCTTTTCGACGTCATCACTACAGCATGGTTTAGATACTGGTGAAGTTAAAATAGCACCAGTGAATTTTTCCTCATCTACTGTTTTCCATGACCTAACTGATTTCATCACTGTTTTAGGGGCTGGCCGAACAATCATTGTTTCTATTTTTATGAAACTGTGATCCGATATTATTCCACTAGGATAGATCTTAGCATTAAGTACTGGAAAGTCATGCGAACTGACAACTAAATCCAATGTACCTCCTAGGATATGTGTAGGAACGTTGACATGATTTACTAATTGAAATATATCAAATATATTTTTTAAACGAATAGATTGGGGATCAGCAGTTCTCTCAACATGCAAATTGAAGTCACCCATCAATAAAATGTCTGAGTTTAAAATTGTTAAGTACTCCAAGATTGAAACTAGTTCATCATAAAACAAAACTGTTATTGGAGCTGAGCCGGGTCTAGCAAGATGAATACTCTTTTATTTATTGACAAACGTACTAATCAATGGCAGAGTTAACTTTTTATATTTGAACTCTTTGCGAAAGTAACCTATCAAATTACCATGACCCGGATCATGCTCTCTAATATAATCAACAAACTGAAACCCAGGCGGCTTTGCCAAACCAATTGAAAAATTACCATCCAATCCATGCCAAGTTTCTGTCAGCACCATGACATCTAAACTATCACAAATCAACCCATGAACAGTGTCAACCTTCTTCATAATTGACCTGACGTTAAGTAATCCAAACATAATATTGCCATTTTGATTTCTATCATCCATGTCATTATTATCGACTACTTCGAGTCTTTCTTTGCAAAAAACTGAACTATCTTCCATTTCCCGACCTCCTCTCTGACTCGATATAAAAAAAACCCTCTTTGCAACTCTCCTCCTTCTTCTTGGCATCATCAAGTAATTTTTTCAAGTCGCTCCTTTGTATATATTGTATATATATTGTTCATTAGCTTCCTATTTATTAAATCATTAAATTTATATTTCTTTGTGTTTTCTCTTAATGTTTCAAGTTCCAATTTTTCTTGTGTTTGTTTTAATAGCTAACGGCACCTGGCACACGTCCCAAAGGCCGTCCAAAAAAGTCCTGGTCGCAAACAATCGAGCGAGACATGAAAGCTCTAAATTTAAATAAAATGGATACAACTGATCGTCTAATTTGGCGCAAAAAGTTGATGGCAAAGAAAACAACGTCCTACCTCGGGAAACCGGGTCTCTGGACGCAAAACGAAGATTGATTGAAACACACACACACACACACACACACACACATATATATATATACACACACACACCTATACATCTACAAAATTATGTCTCCGTTAAAAATTTAATTTTATCTCACTAAATACTAATTTTCGTTGTAAAGTTGAGTGTACTAATTGCTTCTAATTTCAAGATTGCGAAAATATATAATTTGTGATAAAAATTTCTGAATTATTGATAATTTATTAATAATTCCTTATTTAGTTGCTTTTTTTAAGTTTAGCTGACACGTGATTTTGACACGTGGCTTTGTTTGGGTATAGTAATAAACAGAAGAGCAAAGGAGCTTTAGGTTTTTGTCTATTAATGATTATCTTTATGTAGTGTTACATGATTAGCAGTTTGAGCCATGTAATGAAATGTAGACATGATTTAATAAAGTCTTGGCAAAATCATCACAGCATCTATTCTGCTTAACCAATAAAGACATACCTGCTCACTTCCTGAAATACATTCAACACATCTCCTCACATTTATATCCGTAGATGATCAAACATTTTCATAATGGTAAAAAAATTTCAACTTAAAAAACAATCCAATATTATATAAAGATTTTATAAAAATATTTGGTTAAATTAAATAAAACTATTAATAACATTCACCACTAGGTCTGTTATTTATATAAATATTTAATATTTTGTTAAAGTTTTTATTAAACCTGCATATTATTATCTATATTACATGAAATAAATACAAGCACACATAAAAATATATGTATTTATATTGGTTTATATTCACCTTCTGTAAAACATAACTATTGCAAAAACGGATGATGTATAAAGATTGGCTTTAAAATATGACCAGCAAAATGTTCATCATCTAATCTCTCTACAAGGGTAGGCAAACATTTTCTAAAAGATTGGTATTAATATAAGTTTTTGCATCTATTTGTCTTGGAGATGTATGACGCATGGTATTAAGATCTGGCTACATTAAAATAGTGTTAAATTCATGCCCATTGATTAGCCTTGCTCTCGTGTCAATCATGGTGTAGCTTTTAAAAATAATATTTTATAACAATTTATCATTCAAAATAATTACTATTGAATAAAAATTACCCAAGAACTACCAACAAGAAACATAATATTAATTATATGATATAATATTATTATAATCCGAAACATGTTTTGCACCATGTCTTTCATAATGATAAGACTATTGTAAAAGTTTGTTGTTTGGTTCCAATGCTGGGGTTTTGTTAAGGCTGCAGTTGGTTCAGGATGTAGCTGCAAGGTTTGTTATTGGTTGTGGTGGATGGGATCATATTAAGTGCCACCTGGTGGTCTGGATTGGTTGCAAGTGGAGCAACAAGTGGAACTTAAAAAAACAAGGTCAATAGACAGACGTCAATCAGATAGAGTACTGGGTTACTTCAACGAGGTTTTATAGATGGTTCGCAATGTACCATCAAGCTCCTGCCTTAGATCAGTGACAAATTGAATTATGGTGGCTCCTAGAGTGCAAACAGTGGTCGGTGGAAGTAGTCCAACAGTGACGGCCTCGAAAGTTTGGAATTCATTATCAGTTGAGATAGACGAAATTATACAGAAAAAAGCTGAAAAAGTTATTTTATGAGAAGACCAATGCAACTTCCTCCGAGAATTTTTGAGTAAAGAATGTTAATAGAAATAATAATAATAATTTACCTGCCAGCAAACTCTAGATGAAAGATTTTCAACAAGAACACGATTGTCTGATCTTTGAGCTGGTGGATTTCTGGGTCTTAATAAGCCAACAATTCGTTTTTTTTAATTTATGTTAAGTACAGTTTATATCAAATGACACCCACCGAAAATCTCTATATCCTCCACCACCAGCATACCTATCTCTACCATAACCATCTCTGCCATAGCTACCTCTACCATAACTATCTCTGCCATAACTATCTCTACCATAACTATCTTTGCCATAATCTCTGCCATAACCACCACGCTGCCGAAAATCGCCACCTCTTGTGTCTCTTCGGTTAGATCCAGGAGCATGTGCATGCTCAATTATAACTCTGAAAAAAAAGTTAACAAATTAATTTGTTCTGAATAGTCTAGTAGTAAAAAACTTATGAACATAATGGAATTTATATAAACAGTTTGTTATATCTTAGAAATGAAATGCATTAAGAACATTTAGTTCGCCGACTGTATAATATAGATATTGTATAAATTTTCAAATTATAGAAAGGAGTGAATGAGAGACTTGTTAAAGCTGTGGTGCAGCTGTATGAAGGGGCGAAGACAAAGGTGAGGGTCGGAAGGGGGATGTCGGATGCTTTTAGTGTTAGGGTAGGAGTGCATCAAGGATCAGTGTTATCACCGTTTTTGTTTGTAATTGTGAAGGACGTCGCGTGTGGAGACATAACGGAGGGGTTGTTATTTGAGATTTAGTATGCAGATGATTTAGTCTTGATGGCTGATAGCATGGAAGAATTGCAGTTAAAATTTGACAGATGGAAAAGTGTTATCGAAAAGAAAGGGTTAAAAGTTAATATTGGTAAGACGAAGGTAATGGTGAGTGGGGAAGGTGGGGAGCGAGTGATAAGTAAAATAGACCTCTGTGGGGTATGTGACAGGAGAGTGAAAGCTAACTCGGTATTGTGTATAGGATGTCAGAAGTGGGTGCATAAGAGATGTAGTGGTGTGAGGGGGGCACTGAAAAAGGTGGAAGGCACGTTCAAATGTAAGAAATGATTAATAAGACGGACGCAAGGACGGGGTTGAGTAGTGGTATTGAAGGAATGGAAAGCTTTGCTTATTTAGGGGTTAAGCTGAGCGCGGATGGAGGATGTTTGAGTGCTGTTACGGTAAGAGTTCGTATAGGATGGATGAAATTTAGGGAACTGGGTGGGGTATTGTGTGGAAAGAAATGGTCAGTGAAGATGAAAGGGAGAGTATATAAAGCATGTGTGAGAGCAGCAATGTTATATGGTAGTGAAACTTGGGTGTTGAGGAGAGAGGAGGAAAGTGTACTGCAGAGGGCTGAAAGAGCTATGGTGAGGATGATGTGTGTGGTTAAATTGAAGGATAGGAGGAGTAGTACAGAGCTGATGTCGATGATAGGACTGAATGGGGACATTGATAAGGAGATCAAGATTGCAGTGGTATGGACATGTGTTGAGAAGGAATGAAAGGGTCGGGATCAGGCGAGCGTTGGAGTTCGAGGTTGAAGAAGTGATAGGAAGGGGTCGTCCGCGAATGGGATGGAGAGAGCAGGTGGAGAAGGACAGAGTGAAAGCGGGGTTGCGTGATACTGAGGCGAGTGACAGATGTGAATGGTGTCGAGGGGTATTTCGGTTTCGTCATAGGTAGCCAAACTGCAACCCCCAATCTCGGGGAAAATGTCGTCTAAACGTGTGTGTGTGTTTGTGTATAAATTTTCAGCAATATGGTCGCATGTGTAATTTAGGTTCAACAATAATTAACATATCAATACCATCAAGCTACTGTTTATGTACGGTGTTAATATTACCAATGACAATTCACGATTAATAATTATATTAAAAACAATCAGTGGCATCATGTTATACAACAGACTGAGTGGGACAGAACTTACCGTGAAGACAAAATTTATAATTATTTTATCATAACATCTCTACTGAACTTCATCAATTTTATGAACTGAAATTTGCTGTGAAGCTGTGAATAATCTCTTTTGCTTATCTACAGATGTAGCTGTAATCATTCCAAAAAATTAAAAAATAAACTAAAAGATCAAAGACTGTAGATTTTTTACCAAATAATGGGGACAGTAAAAAGACAAGTTTGCATCTTTCTAAATTATTTTTGAAAAAGTGTCCCCTATATTCCGTGCCTATGTTTACATTAATATTATTATTATTTAAATTATAAACAAATTAACAAATTAGTTCACTTTTTTGTGGACTAGTAAAATGCTGACAATTTTTTGAAAATATTACCTTAAGGTTTCAAGCAATTGTTATAAATTGTGTTATAATATAAATTATCTAAAATGATGTTGGTGAATTTTAAACGGAAATATAATACACTACTGCTTCTCTTTTATTTTGCACCAAAAACTTCTTTCTTAGTATCAGCTTTTGTGCATAAGCCTCCAATTAATCCGGTCCAATGTTTCAGTTCTTTACAGCTAATTTTTTATCCTCTTATACAAGCACAACAGTAATTGTTAGTTCTCTGAAAATATTCAATGCTCTGTCAAGTTTTTTATACCACATCTGAATAATATGCTTTTTTACTAACATATTCTTCAGGTAGCGAAAGAATTGACTTTAACAAATAAAAACTTCCCAACAAAACTTTGCCTGAATTTTTTGAGTAAGTCTCACAATAAAAAATATTGCTAACCTTCATTAAGCCCTGATACATTTCTTCAGTCCATTTTTGCCACCTTCATTAATTGTTATTTAGCCCACTATTTATCAAAATCACCCTCACTAATTCCATAATTTACTTCTTAGTATATTCTTCCTCGTCTTTTCTTTACTTAAATTCTCTTCCTTTCAAGAGCATTATGTCAACCTACGAGTATTTTGCTTTCTATCATATATTACAAATAAACATCTGTTAATATTTGTTATAGATACATATAACAATCTACAATACACTGAGAGACCGGAATGATTAAAACTATCAATATCAGGAAAGGATGCATAGCAGTGACTTAGATTAAATATGTTAGCTAACTACTGGAAGAGACATTCAGAGGTATTTTCAACATTTTTGCAAACAAATATAACTAAAAAATGGGAACAGAAAAGAAAAAATTCATTTAGCCAAACAGTAAAAACAGCCTGGAATGATCAACCAGTTATGTTGTTGTAAGTGAATGAGCTGATGCATTATAACTATAACAGCTGGAAAAAAGGAGCCTATCTTTAAAGTTGCTCATTGTTCATAGAGTTTATTCAATTTGACACTGTATCGAATACCATGGTTCAAACAGAAATCTGTCAGTGGTAAAATTTACCTGCTGCTGATAAGCATTTTATCTAACAACAACCAACAAATATTTTCATCCCCATGATCAGAGAAAACTAAAAAAGTTGAATTACAATCAATTCATTTTTTTTTATTTTCCTTGACTCGTAAAACTCTACATTATGCATCTAGTTTTTACTATTTTCTAATTAATCTCATGTTATTAAACCACTTTTAAAAACCATTCACACCTTTTCACGTAATTACCAATTTTTTCTTACGTATTACACCATAAATTCTCCTTTCTATAATTCACCTCTCCATCCAAATCAATGTCTTCAACTATTTTATTCTTCTGAACATGTATTTCAAGCATAGTAATAGGATCAATTTCCTGAAATTACCTCATGTCTAAACTGCACCTGAATGAATAAATGTTATGAAAGTATACCTTCCTCCACAGAGTTCTTTTCCATTAAGATCATATACAGCATCCTCTGCATCTCGTTGTTCTTCAAAATTCTAAATAAATCATCATAAAACATTGAATTATTTGTGAAAAATAAAAAACACAAAATAGTTACGATAATACATATGATTGACCAATTTTAGGATTATTTAGCGTAACATTTTTAATTGGTTAAACCACATCTAGGCTGCCAGTTTATTATGCTATGGCTCCAGTAAGTGTCATGTGTATTTTAGTTTAGTTGACCAAAAATTTTTCCATTTAGTTTTACATTTTAATTTTAAATATTCAATTGGAAACAAAGATTTAATTATGTTAAAGAAGATACAAATTTTTTGTATTATTATTCAAGCTAGACAACTTTCTTAACAAATAATTGTACAAAAAGTTTAGAAAAAATTAAGAATAATAAAGGGTTAGTAAAAAGATCATAATTTTTTTTCACATTTTTAAAATAAGTTTTTGTTTAATTTAGTGTAGCTGTAGTACTATATATCTAGAACTCAAAATAATTGATTAGTTTAAAATTACAACATTTCAATTACTGATAAGAAATTATGAAAAAAATAAAATTGGTAGTTTTTGTGGTAATAAAAATTAAAAAAAGACCAAAAAATAACTATAAAAAATATATAACTAAAAAATAACTATAAAAAACGTATAAACATGGAAAGTTAGATAAGATATGTATATCTCAACCAAATTACAAATAGAATAAACTGGCTAAATTTCACCGTATAACATCGAGCCTTATATATTTTTTTATTTAAATTCAAACCCAAACGGAAAATATTCAAAAATTTTCAGTTTCATGTGGCTTGTTTCCTTCAATAGCTAGATTCTAAATTTAAAAATCTAACGCCAACACTGAACTTACAATAAATCCAAAGCCTTCTTTCAATGATATATCGACCACCCTTCCGTAGCCTTTAAAAAAGTTCTCCACGTCCTTCTCTCTGACATCTCTTCGCAATCTTCCGATATAAACCCTAGCGGCCATTTAACAGTAAAACTAAAATATTGAGAAAAAAGTGTTGGCCAAAGACAATATAGAAAAACCGTATCATTCATACATTAGTTTCAATAATCAATAGAATAGACAAGTAAATAATTATTAAAAAACATTTTTGAAAAATTGTCATAAACATTTTTTTCAAACAAAAATTTTTTCAGCATTATCTTACCTTTTCTTATCTATAAATTCAAAATTTATAAAAATGTCTATGAAGACACGTTATTAATCAATCAATAATATTGTATTGTATTAATCAATCAATCAAATTAATCAATCAACCAATCGATCGATCGATCAATCACTCAATCAGTTTTTAAAGAGCTCCTCAATATATATAACAAATAGATGGGTCTTGAAATCCGCGCTAAACTTCGCATAAGTGATGGGAAAGTAGGTAGAGGAGGTAGAGATTTACAGAGAAAAAGGCGCTTAAGGGGGATTAATAAACAGTGAGAGCGAAAGGATATGGAAATATATAAGAAAAGATATGGACACGAGCCACCAAACGAGCAGCAGAATTAAAAGCTTCATAGAAGGTAAAAAAGATACAATGCGAATTACAATATTTAATCCTATATAAAACTAATGAAGTAACAAGCAAGAGAAACAGTAGGAATATCAAGGAAAGGTTTAAGTATTTTATATAACGTGTAGACGAAAATAAGAACATTTAGCAACACTATAAATCTGGGAAAAAATAGACGCCCTAAAATAAAATTTAACCCTAGGCTACAAAACTTATTAGAAATATTAAGTTAAAGGTTAAAAAGGTTAAAGGTTAAAGGTTTCTCTCTCTTTTGCGTTTGCTTCAGAGGTTTCAACAACAAACACACACAGCGTATATGAATACGCGTGCAAACCACCCATCATACACATTGCATATGATAGGCGGGGATCTCTTTGTGTTCGAACCCAGTCATAGCAATAGCAAGACCAGGCGCCTTTAACCATAAGTGTTTTAGTATTAGGTACATGGTATAGAAGAAAATATATGCGTTTGACAGGGCTGTATTAGGAAGAATAAATAAATAAACAAAAAAAAAACAAGTTTCATTCATTGTATGCTATATTTTCATGCTCTAGCGCTAAAGACCTCACCAACAAAAACTTCAATCCATCCATAATTCCATGCTTCAATCTCTACAGGTTATCGTATAGGTGAAAGAGTTGGTAAAAACAGTACATAATAATAGAAAAATACAGTATACAATCCTAAAATATACAGAAATAAAAAAATACATGATTGAAAAATAATCAAAAATGTTTTTTGAACAAAACTTGTAAAAAAAAAACATCGTAATCTTTAATTATTTAAAACTTTGGATAACCATAACACGCTTGGGAAATTGTGCAACCTCTGTACCTCGTGTGTATATAAATTCTTCAGAATTAGTTGCTGGTTTTCAAATTATTTGTCCTTTCAATTCAAAATGGCATTGAGAACACAGTTTGAGGGCAACAATGAAGTGGGAGTCTTTGCCAAATTGACAAACTCTTATTGTTTAATTGGCATTGGAGGTTCAACTAACTTTAGCAGGTTTTCATTTTATTTATAATTTATATACTAGCAGCTAGTAGTCACTGCTAAACCAATAATAATAAGTTATATTATAGATTGGTCTAATTCTGATGGTGATGAATAGATAGATAAATTTGCTAAAATTGAATTTAGTTTAATTATTTTATTTAATCTTAATTAATTTTTTATTACCAGCATTTTTGAAAGTGAGTTGTCTGACACGATTCCTGTGGTGAATACATCAATAGCTGGCTGTAGAATAATTGGCCGGTTGTGTGTGGGTGTGTATTTTAATGTTACAAATATTTTTTTTTCAATGTAACAAAGTGTAGAGTAGATGAAGCAAAAATGTGTAAAACTGAAACCAAAGAAATTATGTGATTAGTAGTCATTATCTATAAGTATAAAAATGAGATCCAGGAACAGGACAGACTTTAAAGTTTACTTTAAAAGCAAGCCGAGAGGCTGAATTCTCAACAAACATCAGAGGCAAGTATGATTCACGTTTTAGAAACAAATAAAAACAGAAAAAATGGAATAAAAAAGTTTGTATGAGGTTTTGAAAATAAAAATCTGGCTTATTTATTCCAAGAACTAAGAACTATAGTGTGGTTATTTATAACACTCATTTGTCGTTAGGATTAGGAGGACATTATTAACATAATCTATGGGGAAGCCTTGGCCACTAAATAATAATAATAAGTCAAGAAAAAGAATGTTTTATACATAAAATAGACCAAAAATTGAACTACCAAGGCCCCCCTTTATTAAAATTTAAATATTTTAAAATTTTTGGCACCTGTCAAAGTTGTCTAGATTTGCCACTGATTGTAATGAAAGATTTTTATTAATGGATTTTGCATTTAAATACAAAAATCTTTTTTATTTCTTTCATGCTACATTTATTATAATTTTCAATTACATCGCATAAATGATGTTTTTTTCAAATATCTCAAAATTGTACATGTAAAAAATTGTTCTTGTTTATATATTTGATGAAGAAAAAATGAGGAATAATAATGTTATTATTGGTATTTTATTGTGTTTGTTCAATGAAGGTAATAGGCATGGTCTTCTTGTTCCCATTACCACAACTGACCAGGAACTCCAGCATTTACGCAATTCTCTACCAGACTCTGTGAAAATACAAAGAGTCGAAGAGAGGCTGTCGGCATTAGGCAATGTTATTGCATGTAATGACTATGTTGCTGTCGTGCATCCAGATCTTGACAGAGTTAGTTAAAATGTTGAATTTTTAATTTATGTTTATTTATTTCAAAAAATCATTACAAATCACTGCACTGCGTTAAAGATGGCTATTTTTTATTTGTTGATCCAGTCCGTTATTGTGCATATATGTCAAATGTTTGTCAAACAAATCCATCATTGTAATAGTTTCTAATTGTGTATTTTAACTAATGTCAGTTACCGTTTTTTGTTATTGGCTTTCTTATTCAGTCAGACCTCTGTACAACGAACTTAATGGTTCCAGAAAAAAAAATTTGCAATGTAGAAATTTCATTATATAGAATTTTTTCAGAAAAAATTCTGTATAGCTTAAAAGATGTTTATATGCTATATATTTATGAAAAACAGCCTCTCAATTATTTATTTTTATAACAAGAAGTAATATTATGTTGTATAATTGCAAAAATATGAAAAATGACCTAATATTATATGTATGCACTTACATTATATGTATATATATAGCAAAAAGTAATGTAAAACAGTAATGCAAAAATGTAACTTTCAGTTTACCATGTTCAATAATTAATTTTTTTAAAAATTTCTTTCAACGTTTATAAATTTTGTTCATTATTGAGAAATTATTTTCGTTCTATGGAAACAGTTTTGTATGTAAAATTCCAAGGGTTATTAAAATAGTTATATAGAGATTTTTGTTGTATAGAAGTTCGTTATAAGGAGTTCTGACTGTACATTTGAAATTTTTGAAAAATATCTTGAAGCTCTGGAAAATTGCTGTCATCGAATATAAAACAATAAACACATCTTAACCACCATATCTTCACAAACTCATTTGCTTTTGATCCTCTGTTAATCAATGCCATCATGTTTGACTGTCTGCATTATTGCAAATGAATCAACCAGTGAATAAATCAGCTCTTGTTTATAAAGTCTGCCACTCATCATCCTTAATAGAACTGTTTGAGAAATGATTGAAACAGCATCTGTTCAAACAGCCCTTTTGGTGACCATGCTGAAATTTGTTTATCCAGGTGCCTCTGATGCTATGCGTAGGGCATTGCATAAATGACGTTATTATTATTAAAATGTGAACATGTTTCTTTCACTTTCGATATTTTCATAATGTAATGGAAAATTAAGTCTTGGCAAGTCAGAGCAAATCTCAGTTCCTTTCATTCATTAACTCAATAAATAATTTTTATTTTAAAAAAATGATTTTTGTTTCAATTTTTAAGAAGTAAACATTGTCTTCAAATAGTAATTAAATGAATTTAAATTGTTTTATGATTTAGGATACAGAAGAAATTCTTGCAGATGTATTGAAAGTTGAAGTTTTTAAACAAACAATCGCAAACAACGTTCTTGTTGGTTCATATTGTGTCTTAAGTAACCAAGGAGGACTAGTGAGTTTTTACTTTTTAAAACCTCGTACGTGTATATTATGATGATTATAAAAATATATACTTGTGTTTGCTTAGTTACATCCCAAGACTAAAATCGAGGATCAAAATGAGTTATCCTCCATCCTACAGATTCCACTTATAGTTAGTTTCATTTTTTTATTTTTTATATCAATACAAATGTCTCAGCTTCATATTAGTTATTAACCTTTGAGGAGTTTATTCAAAACTGAGTAAAGTGTTTTTCTATATATTATTTAGGGTTTATAAAAATGTTCAACCCCTGGTATGGTAATATGAAAAGTTGGCATAATTTAACATCTTCACAATCTGACTAAAATAAAATTTTCTGATTTATAATAAAATTGAGAGAAATTTAGTCACAAAACTAGTCAAAGTCAAAAATTACCACAAAGCTAAATCATCCAATCGTTTTGTGGTAATGAAATAAAAACTAGTTGCCAGAGTTGAGAGTTACAACATGTAAAATAAGATTGTGGGTGGCATATGACCTGCAATAATTAAAAAGTTTACTTTCCCCTGAGAAGAAAAAAGTTAACTGACAATGTATATAGATAGGTCATGAAAATAAATGTGCAAGATAATTTGGACAAATCTTGAAGATTATTCAAACCTTAAAACTTAAAGAAAAATTTGTCAATTGGAATTTTGGTATTATTTGTAGGGATGCGATATCATTTTTAAAAACGTCAGTGTTCCTGACAAATGTGGTTAAAAAGCATCAGTGATTAGAGCAATATATCGATGATTTTTTATTATATTTGTTTTTTCAAAGTTTTAATTATTTCATCCGTTTCTTCTACAATATAACACATGGTACCGCTGTGTTGTAAAAGCGCCTTTATAATTATTTTTTGTATCTAAAAGAATAAACGATGTATAAACAATGTTTAAATGAAAAATTAAATTCAAAAATTAATAACTAATTTGAAAAAATTCTGTCGCAATTTTGCACAATAAATTCAATTATTTAATTTTTCAAATATTTTCAGATAAAAACAAAAGTTTCATGATTAAAAAAGTCTAGTTAAACTGATTTTGAATTAATGGTATGAAATGTTGCCTAATTTACGCTAATGTTGACGCATTTATAAACTAGCTAACAAGGATGAAAAATCATTTAAGCTGGGAAATTTTTAAATGTTTTAATTACTCAATTTATTTGAATTTGTCTTAAAGTGCAGCAGGTTTAAGCTAAATTAATTGTTTCAAGAGATTTTTGCTTAAAAAAATTCCGTTGATCTTTTGAGAGTTTGATTATCAATATTATCGGCGACAAATATTTCATTACTATCGATGTTGACATTTTGCAAATACTGACTATCGTTGGCATTCATTTGGTATTATTATTAGGTAGTTGAGCTTAATTATCAAGTGCTAAAAATTATGTTTCTACAATGATTTCTGAGTTGTTGAACAATTTATGAATGACTAATGATGATTAGGTTCCGTATAATATAAATGATTTTATTTTTCAGGCTGGAACAGTGAACAGAGGTAGCGACGTGATAGGAGGGGGACTGGTTGTGAATGATTGGGCAGCTTTTTGTGGTCATGATACAACTAGCACTGAAATATCCGTAATAGATAATATCTTTAAATTGGGCACCACACAGCTTGACCATCCTGCTTCATCGTTAAGAGATGCTCTCATAGATAGGTAAATTAATGAAAAGATCTTTAATGTTATTTATTCCATTAATTTTCTAACTTAATGCTTATTTTATTTGAAACAGTATGTCATAAAAGTGATCTCGAGCGACGGAGTTTGACACCATGCACACCCAACCAATATTAGTCAACAGTTATTACAAAAAAAAAAAAATTGAGACTGACTGAACATTTTTGTTGCAAAAAATTTTGTTATTCGAATAATAATTGCTATATAACAATGCTCATTTTGTGTTCCAAGCAGCTTTTTCGTCTAATTCTCGTTCAACTTCTTCTATGTAAGGTCTCAGATAACGAACATCCTGCAAAATTTATTTTTTAGTTAAATGGAAGGCCAGGATAGAAAAAAATTAATGGAAACAAGACTTATAAAGTGTGCATATATTCAAAAAAGCTTACGGCTTTCTCAAATGTCCACTGGTGATTAAATAAATTACTTTTTTTTATTCTATTTTTTTAAATACAATTATGACAATGCAGAACGAGCTTCCTGAGTTTTTTGCGTTGCAGCACCCAAGGTAGAACGCAGAATTTAGTTACAGAAAAACCTGGAAATGTTTGCACATTAAAATTTTAGTGTAAATTAAGGGACGTCAGTTTGAAGGAATTTTCGAAAATCAATGTGTCTTCATGGAATAAAAAGCGCAAGTTATAAATCAGAATGGTCTAAAGTCTCTGAAGATTTTGTTTTGCAGATGTAGCAACAAGGACGTTTCGAGATTGTTTACTAAAATAGATATAAATGAAGCTAAGTGATAAGCAAACACTAGAGAAGTTATAATACACAATTTAAATATTTTTTTAAAGTTAAAATATAACTATACCTCATTGTATTTTGTCCACTCTTCTTTCGGGAGAATTTCTTTTCTCATTGAAAGGTAAAGAGCCCTAGATATGCGAAATTGTCTCTCTCCAGATATTGATCTAGGTAGGCGTCTCAGAGCCTCTTTTACTTCATGGGTTTCCGCAAGCAGATCATCATGCAATAGACCTACCAATAAATTTGACAATAAAAACTTTTGAGTACAGTCGGTAGTATGTCCAGTCTGAAATCAACTAATTAATAAAAGCAATAAAGCCTTAATTCAACTTAGACCATACATTTTTAGTGCACTGGTGACAATCCTGTCCTAATACAACAAATTTATACATCTACGCTTTTCAATCAGTCCGGTTCATATTTCTGGTCTATTATAATAATTAAAGGTGCTTGGATGTTTTTTGCACAGTGGCCAAATGTTCAATGAAAAAAAGAGTTGTTTGTTGAAAGTGATGTGTTGATTCACACATATTTGCATGGAGTGTTGTTGATACTTTTAAGTAGTGTAATAAAAGTTCCTTTCTGAATAAAACTGCAAAAATTGCTATCCAAAAAAATAGGTCAATAAATTATAGATGTAGAAGAATGGATATTCAAAAACTTGTTATAGATTAGGTACAAATATTAAATAAAAATATTCTTTCTAAAAACTTGCAGTTACTTTGAAAACATTGTCTGGGCAGAGAGAACAGTTCATAGATCCATATTAACTCAACACTTTTTTACTGCTTTTAAGCTAGTTAGTAGTCAAACACTTCATTCCGAATATAGAAAATTTTAAAAAAGTTACTTGCGAGCTTCTCAATAAAAACTAATTGCGTGATAAAGAAAACACATTACAATGACTTATTTTTAAAGATTTAATAACATTAATGCCGGGCATGGCAAGCAATGTTGTTGCCAGCTACAGACTTAATTCGAACCTCACTTTCATCTCATAAATTATTTAACGTATCATCACTTGTCAGCTTCTCGTCTACCTGAACAATAACTCACTAAGGTTCAGTCAGGTTTTTGTCGAGCCCATTCAACGGAGATGGCGATACTGAAAGTGGTTTCTGATGTCTGCGATGCCGTCGACGCTGGTAGTATTGGATTGCTTGCACTTCCTGATGTAAGCGCTGCATTTGACAAAGTAGATCATCAGTTTTTGTTGAAACGACTTTCATCTTCATATAGTATTGGTGGAGATGCGTAGAGATGGTTTCAGTTCGACTCAGCAGAAAGGACTCAAGTTGTATGTGTTGGTAATGATGACTCAAACACTGCCTTTTCATAAGTAACCTGTAGTGTTCAGTACTTGACCCCCTGTTATGCATCATGTACACTGCTGACATCGTCAAAGTCGTGGAGACAGCAGATCTTCATTGTCACATTTATGCTGAGACGATATTCATCTGTATGGATTTGGACCGCCGAAATCATCCCATCATGTAAAAGTAAGGCAGTATTGTGTAGAATGCAGTAAACGCAGTGGAAGATTGGATGCTAACAAACAAGTTGAAACTCAACATTGACAAAACGCCGTATATGTGGATGGGAACATCACATGGTCTTGGTCACAAAAATGAATTCAAAGATCCAGCAACTAATCTCGGTGTTATGCTGGATTCTGACCTATGAATGGAAAGTCATATAAAAAAAACTTTGCCGTCAATGTTTCTATCAGCTGCACAAAATATGATCGATCAGATGTTATCTGACTGTTGAGTCAACAAAGACGCTTGTTTTTAGTTTAATTTGTAGCAGAGTTGATTACTGCAACGCAATTATGTACAGAATCAAACTATTCCTTCGTTATGACATGCAGTCTATTTTTAACGCTGCTGCTAGATTGGTTGCAGGATACACGAAATTCGATTCAATTTCTGCTTACATCAGAGATGAGCTACACTGGCTGTGTACACCAGAAAGAGTTTTGTTCAAATTAGCTCTCTTTGTCAGAGATTCACTGGCTAGCGATACTCTAAGAGAGAGAAATTCCAACTAGTATCTGAAGTTGTAAGCCGAAGTAGATAATGGAGATCTCGTGCTTCTAAAATTCAATTCTTTGCTCTTTGGTAAAGAAGATTCTCAGTATCGTCAGCACAAATTTGGAATGATCTACCCGTAGAACTAAAAAGAATTAACAATTTAACCCAGAAAGTTTTTAAAAAGAATTTAAAAAATCATCTGTTCAACAATCCACAGTGAAGCTAGTGCTTCTGAAGTTCTTTTAAGAGGGGCGCTATACAAGTCATGTAATACAATACAATGCCAAGCTTAACTATACAAAATGCAACCACACCCAAAATATTTGAATAAAATATAATATTAAACAAAAAATTTAATAAAAGTCTTTTGGCAAACAAAAATATCTTTAAAACCATTCAAATTAATTAAAATATATCTCAATAAATAGCAAAAAGTTGTGTAGCACAGCATTTATAAACTGCAGATTCGTCATGATGTCATAACTAATTTTTATATTTGATTTTCACAAAAATGTTCCAATGAAAGAATGAAGATTACCTAGTTGATTGTAGCCTGATGCATTGAAAAACCATTTTCTTAAAGCACCTCGCCAACCTGAAACTATAGATTGAAACAAAATTGTTAATCATGAAATGTCTATTATCTTTGCACTGATGATGCCAAAGCCAAAAAATGATCATAATACTTTCAACAGTAAAACATTAAATTATTCAATAAGAACAAATGATATTTTGAAAATAATTTAACAAGTTTTGACAAGGACATTATTGAATCTACAGTAGCTGGCAGCTGTTGCATTTCTTTTATTTTTTATTCAAATCAAATAAAAATTTTTCTATGACACTGTGTATATATATATATATATATATATATATATATATATATATATATATATATTAAAACTGTCAGAAATGTATATATAAATATATACATATATAATTATTAAGATATACCACTGCATTTTCAGCATTGATCAGTTGCTGGCTCAATTTTTCAAAATTTGGATCATTTTTTT